ACTAAATTATCTGATAAAGGAGAACTTCTCAAAGATCCTGAAAAGTATCGGCGTTTAATAGGACGGCTAATCTACCTTATACTATAACTCGGCCGGATATCACTTATTCCGTGCATGTTTTGAGTCGGTTTATGCACGAGCCACGTGTACCTCATATGGATGCTGCACTTCGTGTTGTTCGTTATTTGAAGTCTACTCCAGGTCAAGGCTTATTATTTAGTTCTGACAATCAAACCAAATTAGCTGCTTTCTGTGACTCTGATTGGGCAGGTTGTCCTATCACTCGCCGTTCGACTACTGGGTATTGTGTATTCTTGGGAAATTCTTTGATTTCGTGGCGGACAAAGCGTCAGAAAACTGTTTCACTTTCTTCAGCTGAGGCAGAATACAGGGCTATGGCAGGTGCTTGTTGTGAGTTAATTTGGCTTCGTTTTTTGTTGAAGGATTTGAACATTCCTTTAGGAAGTCCTTCCGTCTTGTTTTGCGATAATCAAGCAGCGTTACATATAGCAGCTAATCTTGTTTTTCATGAACGAACTCGTCATATTGAGATGGATTGTCACTTTATACGAGATAAGATTGCAGATGGAACTATAGCAACCAAGTTTGTGGGTATGGCGCACCAATTGGCAGATTTGTTCACCAAGCCTCTCGGGAAGGACAAGTTTTCGACTATGTTACGCAAGTTGGGAGTTCTTGACATCCACTCTCCAGCTTGAGGGGGAGTGTTAGACAAATAGAAGTATTAGTTGATTGTAATCCTAATTATATTTGTATTCCTAATTTGTATCCCTAACTTGTAGGGTTAATACCTTGGTGTGCAAGGAATGTGATTGTATATATTGGTATTCACGTATTAATGAAATATACTTTTTCATCCACATATTCTTTTTCTACAAAAAGTTCGTACGGTACCGGATTCAGGATCTCATATGCCTTTGTTCAGTAATTCTAAACCGAACTAACATTTTATAAAGGCCTAATTTAATAAATGATCATCGTGGTAATAGAGTATTCTGAAGATAGTTCATGTGGTAAAAATAAAAAAATAAAAAATAAAATAAAAGAAAAATGATTTAAACCCTTGTGGTGAAATACATTAGGAATTAAGACCAAAATCAAAATTTTTGTTAGTTTCTCCATTAAGCTTCCCTTTTCTTAAGGGTTAGGAATCATGAGTCTCTATATTCACGCTTCGTACATTTCCCTGCATGTGGCTACAGTTAACTCATTATGTCCCGTTGGGCTTTGCTCCCCTTCATCATTTGTTACTTTCGTGCATTTTCATTGTGTTCCTCCTTCATTGGTGTTCCTTCTCCTGTTTATGGCTCACTGGAAATTTACTCATGGTTGAAAAAAATCTTCATATTCAATCAGTAATCATTGCCCCTCTTTTTCCACGTGTGTTTTGAATAGAAAGAGGGCCTTGATTTTTAATTGTTAAAAAGGGCCTTACTGGTTCTTCAATGTCATCTCACATCATGTAGAAACAGAAATGAGATCATAGAGAAGGAGATGGAGGGGCTGGCCATTACAGACAGATGCAGAGCCTCCATACTCTCCAAAACATGCACGAAAACAACTTAGGAATAAACAAACCACAAGGGATCGGTATAGAATTACATTTTTACTTGATTGGATTAATCATGGGAGCATTTCTATTAAAAAACAAAAAAAACAAAAAATGGGAGCATTTCTATTGAGCCATAATAAAGGCAGTGCAGAAATTCATAGAAATACGAAGTTTTGTTTTTGAGGTTAACAGAGATAACGGAAATTTGTTTTTTGGACTAAAATCCTAACGGACTTTATTCCAAAAGTTTAAATCCGAATTTCCTTACCATGAGCTATCTTGCAAATACCTTATCACCACGAGGACTTAGGCATTTTATAAAAAATATATATAGGTTTATATCACAAATAGTTCATGAAATTGGTCCACATCATTAAGATGATCCTTGAAATTGAATCAATCAATATAGTCCTTCTAAATAGGTGTTGCAAATCAATTTGGTCATTCCGTCTAAATTATGTTATGTGTCCCACAAGTCTTTTTTTTTCTTTTACCACAAATGATCTCTGAAATTGATCCACACCATCAATATGGTTCCAAAATTGCAAATTAATCAATGTAGTCCTAAAATTGATGTAACAAATCAATGTGGTCATTCCGTCGTAATTATGTCAAAGATTTTTGTTATGTACTGGTGTGGCAAACTAACTAAATAAAAAAATGAATTAGAAATATGTGTAATAATTTAAAATTTAATTAAAAAGTTGTCAACCCAGAGACTCGATCCCGGTAATCATCTCTGATTCCATCTGATACTCCTCTACCTCTATTTGTGATAGCCTTCACTGTCCCTTCTCTGAAAAAGAAAATTCCCAAGACATCAATCTTTACAACCTTCGACACCCTTCATCGAATTTGACCCGGATCGAGACCACCTTTTGATGACGATTTTTGTGGCTCTACAATTAATATTTGGGCGATCGACAACCTCAATCTTAATCTTGGAGAGCTTGTTGGGCGCTCCCCAGTGATCTTCGTGATGCGCAGAATGACAAGCTCTGTTTTGAGATAATCTCAATGTGCAAAAAGATGTTTTCACAACTTTCTTAATTAATTATTAAACCACATCAACGCATAATAAAATTGTGATGAAATGACCATATTAATTTTGTGACACCTATTTTCAAGAATTACATTGATCGATTTTCAATTTCAGAGACCATCTTGCTCTTGTGGGTTAATTTTAAGGATCATTTGTGATAAAAACTTTTATTATTTTTAAGTGACGTAGTGAAGTTCCGTTCTAAATTGGTGTTGAAAGAATGGTAGTGGAGTTAAACTTCAAATTTGTGACGATTGTGATGTCTCATTGCGTGTTTTGCATGCAAATTTGTGATTTCCGATTGAAGTTTATGCGGTGATTGTCTTCGAGAATGCTCGGGCAAGAGTCGCAGCATGCACGGGAAATCTGAGCATCCAATTTCCAAGTGGTAACACAGTAGTAGCAGCAGCTGCAGCAAGGCCAAAAAGGAGACTGTCTGGAGTTTCTTCGCCTTCGAAAATCCAACATTGGGCGCTGAAGGAACATAGTAGTTGGATGGCTGCAGCCAACAAAAATCAACTTATTGTAATGATATTTAACATGAATAACTATGGATTTTATCCCAATGTTTGTAAACTTGTGTGATTTTAGCTGTTTTAGCAGGGATGATTTGTGTGCTACGGTTTGGTTTTGCAGTGATTTATGTCATTGATAACATTTCTAAAATATATTTGCTTATTTAAAATGTAACCAAATTATATTATTCTCCGTGTCATTTTATCGATGACATATCATTTAATTTACAAATTTAACTTTATATTTTAACCTTCTTAGTATTACTCAAGATCATAAACGAGAACATGAGATTATTAAAAACAAGAATGTCAACAAACGTGCAACCAATGTAGAGATGGTGGGACCATGAAAAAATAATGCCGTCCATTTAAATTGAAAAAGAAGATGTGGTCCCCACAGGACCATCTTTTTCCTCCCGACTCTGCAACATCTTTTACCCCAGGTTCAGGAGACTTAACATCGCCGTCTAGGCATGCATATTACCGGCTAGACCCGCCTAATCTTGCTCAGACATCCGCCTAATAAGTTTACCGATTTTACGACCGATTAAAACCTAATCGCTACGGTCAGCCACAAGTTCAGTTCCTAAGCTCCGTCTAGATGATTGTTTAGATCAATTTTTAGAACACTAATTTTTATGGACCAGGATCCTCTCCTGAGCTAAGGATGAGGATTCTCCTGATCAAAGAGTGTGGACCGTTGAATGAAAATTCAACGACTACAATTATTATAACTTTAAAAGGACCTCCTGTTTGTAGCCGTTGAATTTTCATCCAACGGCCTACACTCCTTGATAAAAAAAATCCTTATCCTTAGCTCAAGAAAGAATCCTGGTACAATTTTTATAACCCACCGCTTTCAAGGAATTGTCTTTAGTTTTAAGGGCGTACTTCAAGTCACAAAAGAGAGGTTAATTCTTAGCCATCAATCAAATCAGTGGTAGGGTCTGTAGGCTCTCATTCTCTATCCGCCGCCCATTTTTCTAATCAAGAAAACTAGTAAAAAGCAGTAGCACTCACGCGTTATTGACACGGCATTATTGACAGTGGGAGAAATAGAATAGCACTCACGCGTTATTTACAAGCTACAGTAACATCATTGACCAATGCAAAAAATGAAAAAATGCCGCCTGTCACTCACGCGTTATTGACACGGCATTATTTCAATTTTTTTTCTCTCTCTTCTTTCTTCTCTCCCTCTTCTCGCGCCCCTCCGACGCCGCACCGCCCGCAACAACCGCCAGTTCTGACTAAGACCGAGATCGAGATAGAGACAAAGAGCTGGAACTGGAAGTCGTCAAAGAGCAGTATCTCTTCTCTCTAATATTTTCGTATTGGATTTGTATCTGTTTGAGCTGCGTTTCAGATCTTCGAGGGTTTGTTTTTTGCAAAACAATAATCAAAGAGCTGGGGTCCTTAATTTGCTTTGCTCTCACACATCTTCCAGCGATTCAAAAAATAATCAGGAGTTTCACTGGGGAATCTTGGGAGGGATACTTGTTTTCTTTAGACTGAAACGAATCAGGAGTTTTTCTCTTCTTTACTTGAAATCAATGAATACCAGCAGATCCGCCCATGCAACCGCCACCGCTGCCGCCGCATCGCTTCGTCTCGGCGTTCAAACCACTGGAAGTACGAGGTGTTCCTCAGCTTTAGGGCGACGACACACGCACTACCTTCACAGACCACCTCTCCATTGCGTTACGACAGTGCCGGAATTAACACGTTTGTAGATTACCAGCTCAGAAGGGAGGAAAATACACCGAGCGAACTTGACGGAGAAATCGAAGGGTCGAGGATCGCGGTCGTCGTCTTCTCAAAGAGGTATGCGGAGGCCGGATGGTTGCCTGAGCGAGCTGTCGAAGATCATGAGAAGACCAAGAGGGGAAAGTAGTCTATCCAATATTCTACGACGTTGACCCTTCTCAAGTGAGGAAACAGAGCGGTAGTTTTGGGGAAGCATTTCGGAAGCATGAAAGGGATGAAGATCCAGATGAGGTGGAGCAGTGGAGAAGGGACCTTAAGGCTTGTGCAGATTTGTGTGGCCGGAATCTTAAAACCACGGCGGACGGGTATAAATTCAAATTTCCTCTTTTACAAAATTTAATCGCTTGGAACATCTTGTATAATCAGATTAATGATTAGAAGAAGAATATAATAATTAGTAATTAGAAGAAGAAAATAATGATTAGTAATTACATAAGCATCAGCCTTGACGGATTAATGAGAAGCCAATATTATTGGCTCTGATACCAGATGTTGGAACAAATATAGCAAAGCCTAATTCATTAGCAGATCAATAATCACATGGACGATTGATAAAAAAAACTGAGGAAGCCATGGATGATTGATCAAAGAAGAGCTTCTACTCACAGGAACCTTATGTTGTTGCAAGTAATAGGGCTCGTTTTCTGTATAAATTCCCAGTGGGTTATCCACCAGTCTGGTCATGTCAGCTTAAGGGTCGTCTAAATAATTCTTAATTGAACATATATGATGAATTAGTTTAGTTCATATGAATCTTGGTGTTGCATGATATGATGAATCATCTGTTTGAATAATTTGGACTCTCAATTTGCAGGCGTGAAGGATTGTTTATCCAGAATGTTGTTGGGGACATCATCGCACTAACAAAAACCAGAGACTTACAGACAAGTCAGTCGAGCACTCGGTTGGAATACCTCGTTGCGTGGGCAAGAGTTCCTACTACTGTTTTTTTTTTTTTTTTGAAATACCCCCCTATTTATAACCGAGGAGGGAAGAGAGATGTCGGTAACTTCTTTCCCATAGCCTAGTCAGCACTTTTTCTTTTCTTTTTTTATCTTTTTTCTCCTTTTGGGTATAAAGAAAGATTACTCTTTTTCACCCACCCCACTCTCTCCTCTCCCCTCTCTCTCTCCCCTCACCTATTACTTTTTTTCTTTGATTCACCCACTTTCTCCTCTCCCCCGTCTCTCGTCGCCCCCTCTTTCCCTCTCTCTTTCCTTTCTCTGCTTCTCTCTAACCATAAGAGTTACAAGCATTTGAAGAAAGAATAATAAGAAGAAGAGGACCCAGATGATCCAGTTCTCATATTCTTCAAGGTCTCGCACTTCAACCCAAGACGCGAAGACAATCTCTCTCCAGCCGATGCCCACGATTTTGAGTATGGAGTTTCTTCGCCTTAGAAAATCCAACATTGGGCGCTGAAGGATCATAGTAGTTGGATGGTTGCATCCAACAAAAATCAACTTATTGTAATTATATTTAACAATGAATAACTGTGGGTTTTATCCCAATGTATGTAAACTTGTGTGATTTGGAATGTCTTAGCTGTCATAGCAGTGATGAATTGTGTGCTACAGTTTGGTTCTGCAGCGGGTTATGTCATTGATACATGTTAAAAAAAATTATGACTCAATATGATTCGTTATGAAAGTTTACCAAAAGATATAAGCACTAATTGACGCAGTAAACCAAGCTAACATATATGAAAATATGTTAATTTGGGAAGTTAGCTACTATTTGTTTCTTTTGAGTTTTGCGTTTTATTTTGGTTTGCTCGAGGACAAGCAAAATTAGTTTGGGGGCATTTGGTTGCGGCAAAGAGGAGAGCTACTTTGGAGTTTTTCTTTGCTAGGGTTTTACTTTGGAGTTTTATTTTATCTTTTGCTATTCGTAATGCGCTTGATTTTTATTTAGATGCTTGATCACCATCTAAGTTTTAGTTAAGTTGATTTGATGCAAGTTAGAGTAGATGCCATACTTGGGTTTAGCTTCTTGCAATTGATACCATAAACACTTATTTGTAGATGTCATGCAATTAGGGTTTGTGTGATTTTCCAATGACTTCCATAGAGCTTAATGGGTTCTTACTTGTTTAAATCGGAGAAGGATTCTCTCCTCTCTTTTTTCCCTCATTCCCTCCCTTCCTATTTGAACGGTCACGGTTAAGCCACGTCAGTATCTTATATTAATTTTTTATAGAAAGAGAAAGACAAAATAAAGAGTGTGAGAGGAGGAGAGATGGAATGTGATGGAAAGATGAGGGGAGAGAATCCTAGTCCATTTAAATCCATCTAGATGCCATATAGGGTTCACATGTAAGATACTTTTGATGCAACCAGATGCCATGACCATTGCCGGGAATTGTTGGGGGGAAGGGCGAACTTAAAAGAGTGCAAGGTTCAAAAGAATGTGACAACAACCAAATCCTTTTATCAATACAAACAAATTACAATTGTTGCCGGCGAGGTTTCATGTCATGAAAACATCGCATAACAGACTCATTATCAATAAAAGCAGATACATCTCACTCAATGTAAACAAACACGCTATCACTCAACCATTGATCTCCCATTTTGTTATGCAATGGTGTTTTCACAATCTTCATAACAGAAAGCTCTCTCCACCGAAGCTGTTGCAACCGGTAACACCAAAACCAATGTAAGAAGCTTATACACTAACATATAGCTTACACGCCTCCTGGTCTTCACTAACTCATTTGCAAGATTACTAATTCCTCTCAATGATGAAAACTCACTATGCATCTTCATATCATGAATGTAATTTTCAAGTTGAATTGGAAGATTCATGAGTTCCATACGATCAAAATCTTGAGGATAAAAGTTGGGCTAAATAAACAATTTTTGCTTTGTCAAAAGATGCAAAATTATTTACCGGACTCAAACATGCCATACAAAGAAGCAACTCGGTGTTTACCTCATTAAAGCGATCATTCAATTCCTTTAGTTGCATATCAAGAACTTGAAAATAGAGGTTCACACGATAGTAAAGAAGTTTGTGAGTCTTGGAGCTTTACACTTTGATTTTTTCGGGTAAGAAATGCAAATCCTCCATGTTAGGAACGATAATCTCATGCTCCTCACTAAACTTTTATACATCATCAAGCAAGTCCCCAAAGTCATCATCTCTCAAGGATTGTAGTCTTTGCTTGCATACTTCCACTAACGTCATCACATTCACAATATCTTGATTTTCTTTGGTAATGCTTGTGATAACTCATTTGTAATTCCCAATATAAGTCTCATAAAAAAAAGGTGAAACACAAAATCAAGAGTTTGTATGTCGTGGAAGAACTTGCTTCACTGAAATTATCTTGGTTGCCATCATCTTTAATCCATTCAAGCACCTCCACCATGGCTTAAAACATAACAATAACACTAACTATAGTACCATAATGTGAGTTCCACTGTGTATCACAAGGACGCGTGAGACTAATATCTTGATTTAATCCTATACCAGTTATAAGATCACCAATATCAAGAGCTTTCTTAATTTGTTATTGTTTCAAACCTATTTGTGCTTCAAGTCACAGAAAAAAGAGATGTTAATTCTTAGCCATCAATCAAATCAGTGGTCAATCTCATTAGGGTTCGTAGGCTCTCATTCTCTATCCATCGCCTATTTTGTAAAAATGAAAACTAATGAAAAAGACTTGAAAATTTTGAGTTTTAACGATAAGGACAAAATATAAAGGATAAAATGAATAGTACCAAAAAAATTGACTTTTTAGTGTAAAAATGTGGTTTTTCGTTAAAGTGAACAATATCATAAGTTTTTCGTTAAATGTCCTTTTGTAAAAAGCAGTTGCACACACACTAACATACTACCTTTACCTATTTTTATAGTCTATTTAGTTCCAACAAATCATCATCTCCAACATTGGCTGGTCATTTTTTTTTGTTCTATGCTAAAGGTTTTGCAAAACCTCTTAAACTGAAGGGCCTCATCGCGTGATGTCTCACAACAAATTACATACAATATTAAAACTGACACACCCCGATCCAGGGGATCCAGGTGTGCTGGCCGTCACGTGGGAGTGACGTAACCAAAGGTGCGACACGGAAGCAAAACAAGAACATAAATCAGCTGAAATTCAAACCAACTTAAACATATCCACCTACGAACATAACCGGACGAGTTATACTACAAACACATAAGTTCAGAGCATAGGTAACTGCAGTCAAGTAGGACTAAAATAAGAATACATCACCCTCAGGTGAGTCCTACATGTCCAAGGTCTGTCAGAAAGCCGGAAAAGGACCTCGTGAGCCAACCACCGCTAAACTAGAACCTGGAGGGGCGCAAAACAAAATGAGTGGGTCAGTAAAACAAATTAGTTTTCCAAAACAGTTCATTAAAACAATTATATCCCCTCGCCGTAAAAACCTGTATACTTTCCCAGAAAATAGTATATAAACATATAAATATACTCAACCTCATAACTCAGCACATTTTCATCATCATAATATCACAGAAACGGTATGCCATGCCCAAAATATAATCAGAATGTAAATCAATATCAATCAGGTGAATACTAAGTCAACCGGAGACCCTACGATGGTCCTGTACGGCTGATTCTAAAGCTCAACATCTCATCCAACCGGAGTCACCTCGGTGACCTGTACGGTTTAACTCTGCACGTCACTCGGAACTACATAAGGTAGTCTGTACGGTGACAGGTGTATAAATACGCTCTAGTGCTTCTCACATCAATCATCAGCACGCATATCTAAGGTCATCCACCAGTCGGAACCCCTCTAATGGTCTGTACGACTGGCATGTCGGAACCCTCACATGGTCTGTACGACATCCACATACTTGGATCCAAGACAAGCGTGCGGTGTGGTGAATAACAATATAAACACTATCACCTAGGTGCAGGTTATGAGCTTTCAATGCAATTCATATAAATAACTCAGCTGGAAATAAATAAACTCACCTGAGCGTCCACCGCATCATTTCACGCGCATATATATCAATTATCAAAAGATATAAGCACTAATTGACGCAGTAAACCAAGCTAACATATATGAAAATATGTTAATTTGGGAAGTTAGCTACTATTTGTTTCTTTTGAGTTTTGCGTTTTATTTTGGTTTGCTCGAGGACAAGCAAAATTAGTTTGGGGGCATTTGGTTGCGGCAAAGAGGAGAGCTACTTTGGAGTTTTTCTTTGCTAGGGTTATAATGTAGCCTGATCATAAATACTTAATTGCCTTGTGACATTGTTATTATCAAGTTTTTATTCCATATTGAGTATCTTTTGCTATTCGTAATGCGCTTGATTTTTATTTAGATGCTTGATCACCATCTAAGTTTTAGTTAAGTTAATTTGATACAAGTTAGAGTAGATGCCATACTTGGGTTTAGCTTCTTGCAATTGATACCATAAACACTTATTTGTAGATGTCATGCAATTAGGGTTTGTGTGATTTTCCAATGACTTCCATAGAGCTTAATGGGTTCTTACTTGTTTAAATCGGAGAAGGATTCTCTCTCCTCTTTTTTTCCCTCATTCCCTCCCTTCCTATTTGAACGGTCACGATTAAGCCACGTCAGTATCTTATATTAATTTTTTTATAGAAAAAGAAAGACAAAATAAAGAGTGTGAGAGGAGGAGATGGAATGTGATGGAAAGATGAGGGGAGAGAATCCTAGTCCATTTAAATCCATCTAGATGCCATATAGGGTTCACATGTAAGATACTTTTGATGCAACCAGATGTCATGACCATTGAATAATTTAGGAAAATTGATCATCAATATTGGAGAACTACTTGAGCATAACATATTAAGAGAATTAAGTAGACTTGGTTACGGTGAATTCAGATGCCCTATATCTAGTTTTCTTATGTTTTCAATTTATTATTTTCAAGCTTTATTTAAATTTTAGTTAAATTCAAATCATTTCTCTTTTTCGTTAAAGCTTCTCAATTGTAATTTGTTTCAATTTAGTTAGTAAGTGTTTGGATCCAAATTTACACCATCGGCCTGTGTAATTGAGGCCGTTGAGTAAGCATAGTTCTCAACCGTCGGATGGAAAAGGGAAGATATTTTTATTAAAGGATAATATTATGATTTTAATCATGATGTTATCTCTTAGTAATATATTAAATTATTATTTGATTAAATCTCAATTGATTTGGATGATGACGGGATATGAGGGTATGTACAAGGCACGGCAGCAGAGGAAGATGTATGCAGTTATATGCCTTTGGATGGTATGTTGGTTTTGGCCACGTGAAAGAGTTTTTGGGGATTATATTCTATCTTATTTTGCGTGCATGGCTGCACCTGGATCAATATGGTGGACATAAAGTTCTAATTGGACTAGGAGACAATCTGAGGGCACGGTTTCTAAAGATAAGGAATGACGGAATGGTTCTCCTGCTTATCTTGAAAAGTCTTTGACTGAGGTTCTAGTTGATAAGTTTGAATTGAAGTCAAATTCTACACTGGTGGGGAGTTGCGCACACGATTTTCTCTTCTTCTATAAATACAGTACCGCGAACAAAAAAAAAAAAGCCTCATCCAATTCAACACACAACTGCCCTGCGCAAACTCTCTCAACAACCTTGAGATTTTTTCCTTTATCTTTTCGCCGACACATCTTCAGTTTGGATAAACAGCACTGTGAAGGCAACCGGCAAACACCTTAAGTTTAGATAAACAGCACTGTTGCCGTAAAATCAGCCGACCGCGAAGCACCTTCAGTTTGGATAAACAGCACTGCAACGAGGGCGACTGATTATCTATCCAAGTCTCGGTCGAGAAGGATTTCCGAATCCTTATTGGTCGAGGTCATCTCATCAGCTTTCTCGGCGAAGTGAAGTGTTACAGTTTATTGGGCTCGGCACATTACATGCCGAGTTTATGTTATGATTGGATACTCTCAAGTGGGATTTAGAGTTCGGCATTCCGACGGCTGAACCACTTTTACTATTAAGACTTATGTCCGCTTTGAGTATTTATGCCCTTACACTTTGGTGTCGATTCGGCGTGAGTTTACTCTGACGAATACCATCACTGTGACCGAATCTGACGACGACGATTCGTGAACTTCGTAAGAATAGTAGCCTTGTCTTCAGGTTCGAGAACCCAAGAGACCGAGACATATTCCTTCCTCGGTCGCAATCGCAAGATGCAGAAGTCGGCCGCACACCCAACGCAACATCAACAAATTTTACTCCTCGGCCAAGCTCGGCCGACGAGTTGGCACGCCTCGCATTCAATCGAATGACGTAGTTAGCTCATAGATTACTCTCGGCATGCGCGCCACGTAGGCTTGGTAGTTTTTAGGGTCAACATTAAGACTTTGGAATAAATTCGATCTCTTTGGGACCATATCGATGCTTCAATGCTATACTATATCATTCAATTCGTATACTTGCGAGTACTAAAATTCGAGACTTAATGAGGTTAATTTTGGATATCTAATTTTCGCAACAAACCACCTCAAAGCCTTTTTGAATATATGTTGCTTCTGCCTCCGCCATTAAACTAGATTCTTATGGCAGGTCAGCACCGTCGCCTGCACCCTGAAAAATACCAACATAATCTCTTACCTTGGTGAAGCCAGGAATTGTCATCGAGGTGGGGGGGGGGAGAACTTAAAAAGAGAGCGAGGTTCGAAAGAATGACAACAACCAAATCCTTTTATATAGTAATGTCTTTCATAATTTATCAATACAATATAATTTAGTACATTAATTTAACCCATTCATATAGACAAAATCCAAAGGATATATACGATTAAAAATATATGAAAATATGCACACATCATGGTTCAGATAGAATCGGACTCCAAATGTCTAGTGGAAATGCTTAACGAAAAAACTCAACTTGACGTTGTGATTGAAGGCATTCTCTTTGATGTTCAGTGCTTGAAACAACAGTTGAGGTCAGTAGAATTTATCTTCGCTCCTCATGTTTGCAATAAAGCAGCGCATCTAGTGGCTTCTTTTGTTGCCCAGAAATGAGGCTTTCATAATTGAGATGGTCTTAAGTCAGAATAGCTATTTAATACTTTGGCTTCATAGTAAACATTTTCATTCGAATATAATCAAATTGCTTTCTTTTAGAAAAAAAATAAGAAAAGTAAAAAAGAGGTTTGTCTAGGGGTGTAAAAAAATACCGAAAATTCCAAACCATACGAAACCGAACCAAAACCAAACCGATCCCGAATTATTCGGTATGAGATTCGGTCTCACATCTTAGCATCATTCGGTATCCATGTCCCGAACCGAACTTTAATAAATATATTTTACATATATACATATATGTTGAAATATCTATAATGGGCCTATTATATATTATTAAAATAAGCAAAGTGTGCAGAAAAGCACATGATGTGTTGTGTGTTGCCTAAATTTCTATCAAGCAAACATATCTATAATGGCCTATTATATCATATTAAAATAAGTACAGTGTGCAGAAAAGCATATGGGTGCTGTCTATAGATACATCCCTACTCATTCTCTCTCATCCTTACCTTCACCAAGAGTCTCAGACTCTTTCTGTCTTTTCTCTCGAATTTGAAGCTCAAAGGCCATCCACCCACCCATCTTCCCACAATCTGACTTTGTTTGTACCATACTTGACAAATCCCGAAACTACCAAGCACCGGTCAACGCTATACCATCAAGGACCCATAAGAGTTTCTCTCCAACCAGGAGGCCAATCATAGCGCAACATGTGTCAACACTAAGAGGCCAATCACAGGGCGACACATGTCAACATCAAAGGCCAATCACAGCATGACACGTGTCAAGGCCAGAACAAAGCTAGAAACTCTCTTCTATAAAAGGAGATCATTCTCCCACAATAATCTCTAATGTCATTTGTACTAAATCATTCACTAGTACTCACTAAACCTATGTACTTATGTAAACCCTTCACAATTAATGAGAACTCCTCTACTCCGTGGACGTAGCCAATCTGGGTGAACCACATACATCTTGTGTTTGCTTCAATGTCTCTATCCATTTACATACTTATCCACACTAGTGACCGGAGCAATCTAGCGAAGGTCACAAACTTGACACTTTCTATTATACCAAAGTCCTCACTGTTTTTGCGCATCAACAGACTTTAATCAACTCTCTCCATTCTGGCCACCACCACACCTTACTGTTTCATCCCCTCATCCGATTCTCTCCAGTGATTCTCTGTATGTGTGAGGTTTCAAATTAAGGTTTACGGTTTCAAATTGGGGTTTAGGGTTTCTAATTAGGGGCTCGGGTCCAAAGGAAGATGTAGGTCTGACTATCTCTTTACTCTGTCTCCCTTTCTCTCGACATTCAATCTTCACTGATTCACTCATTGTCTCTAATTTTAAATTAGGGTTTTAATGCAGGTTCAGATGATTTCAGGTTCGGTTTCGAGAATTTCGAAATACGAAAATATTTAAGGAATCCCAAATTTCGGGAATACCGAAATGTTAGTTTGGGATCAGTCGTCAAATTTTCGTCCCAAAAATAGTCGGTTTGGGACTTGATATGCCGTTTTCGGTTCAGTATCCCATACCAAACCAGCCCTAGGTTTGTCAAGTCAAAGTGACAAGTTGTTGGCAACGTAAGCACTTAGCCAAGTAAAAAAGAAAAAAAAAAGTAGTAGTGAATTGTTGTGGCCTTGCACGCACAACAAGGTATTTCCAACCGAGTGCTTAACTTGTTTGTAAAAGCATTTCAATGAGGGGTTTTATATGAGGTTAGAAAAGTGGTAGATACAGTTCAATTTAAAACTCTAAGAAATTTTTGGGGGCTTTAAGAGCATCTCCAATAAGGGCTTTATTCTCCATGAGACTACTACATTTCAAGTCTTAGTGAGAAATTTCATCTCAAATGAGCCGAAAAATTGGGTTAGATCCACTACTCGGACTAGCAACTTCCTTTCTTAGTTAGCTTAAAATTGGGCTATATCTAGCCCCAAAATCGAGTGGGTCCCATAAAAAAAGTAGCAACCTATGTGAGCAAAATTATATCACTCTCCCTTCATTTGCAAATATACTTAGAGCCCCTTTTTTGCCCTCACTATTTCTCGTTGGACTAGACTAGACTAAAGGTTAGTCCAATTTTGTGTTTGTTATCAGCATGAGACTAGCTTTAGTGGGACTAAAGTTTACTTGCTCTGACTAAAACATTGCTAAGCTGGTCCTAGCGAGGCCCCCCAAATACCTTGGGACTAGCTAAAACCGTCTTCCCTCTCACACCGTGTCCTCATGCTCGTCCTGCATGACTGCTCCATCTTTAATGACGACTCGTTTCCTCACTGTCATCCTTTTCATGCTTCTGAAATGCTTCTCCAAAACTACCACTCTATTTTGAGAAGAGTGAACGTCGTAGAATATTGGATATACTACTTTCACCTCTTGGTCTTCTCGACACCTCATGATCTTTGACGGCTTGCTCAGGTAACATCCGGACTCTGCATACCTCTTTGAGAAGATGACGAGATTGATCCTCGACCCTTCGAATTCTCCGTCAAGTTCGCTCTGTATATTTTCCTCCCTTCTGAGCTGGTAGTCCACAAACGTATTAATTCCGGCATCGCATAACGCAATGGAAATGTGGTCTATGAAGGTAGTGCGTGTGTCGTCGCCTAAGCTAAGGAACACCTCATACTTCCAGTGGTTTGAACTTTGAGACGAAGACGAAATGACGACAACATGAGGACACGTCGTTGTCATTATAAATGGCGTAGTCATGCATGATGAGCATGAGGACGCGGCATGAGAGGGAAAACGGTCTTGGCTAGTCCCAAGGTGGTTGGGGGGCCTCGCTAGGACCGGCTAAGCAAGGTTTTAGTCGGAGCGAGTGAACTTTAGTCCCAGTAAAGCTAGTCTCATGTTGATAACAAACAAAAGATTGGACTAACCTTTAGTCTAGTCTAGTCCAACGAGACTTAGTGAAAGCAAACAAATAGGCTCTAAGTGTATTCGCAAGTGGAGGGAGAGTGATATAATTTTGCTCACATAGGTTGCTACTTTTTTTATGGGACCCACTGGATTTTGGGGCTAGATGTAGCCTAATTTTATGCTACCTAAGAAAGGAAGTTGCTAGCCTGGTTGATGGATCCAGCCCAATTTTTCGGCTCATTAGAGATGAAATTTCTCACTAAGACTTGAAATGTAGTAGTCTCATGGAGAATAAAGCCCTTATTGAAGATGCTCTTAAAGCCCCAAAAATTTCTTAGAGTTTAAATTGAACTGTATCAACCACTTTTCTAACCTCATATAAAACCCCTTATTGAAATGATTTTACAAAACAGTTAAGCACTCGATTGGAATACCTTATCGCATGTGCAAGGCCACAATAGTTCATTACTACTTTTTTTTTCTTTTTTACTTGGCTAAGTGCTTACGTGGCCAACAACTTGTTCCTTTGACTTGACAAACCTAGGGCTGGTTTGGTATGGGATACCAAACTGAAAACGGCATATCAAGTCCCAAACTGACTATTTTCGAGACGGAAATCTGACGACTGATCCCAAACTAAAATTTTGGTATTCCCGAAGTTTGGGATTCCCAAAATATTTTCGTATTTCGAAATTCCCAAAACCGAACTTGAAATCATCTAAACCTACATTAAAACTCTAATTTAAAATCAGAGACAATGAGTGAATCAGTGAAGATTGAAGGTTGAGAGAGAGAGAAAGAGACAGAGTAAAGAAATAGTCAGACCTGTATCTTCCTCATGATCCGAGCCCTCAATTCGAAACCCTAAACCCCAATTTAAAACCCTAACCTTAATTTGAAACCCCACACACATAGAGAATCGCTGGAGAGAATCGGAGGTAGGGATGAAGCAGTAAGGTGTGGTGGTGGCCAGAGTGGAGAGAGTTGGATGAAGTCAGATTATGGGAGGATGGGTGGGTGGGTGGCCTTTGAGCTTCAAATTTGAGAGAAAAGACAGAAAGAGTCTGAGACTCTTGGTGAAGGTAAAGATGAGAGAGAATGAGTAGGGATGTATCTATAGACAGCACCCATATGCTTTTTTGCACACTGTACTTATTTTAATATGATATAATAGGCCATTATAGATATGTTTGCTTGATAGAAATTTAGGCAACACACAACACATCATGTGCTTTTCTGCACACTTTGCTTATTTTAATAATATATAATAGGCCCATTATAGATATTCCAACATATATGTATATATGTAAAATATATTTATTAAAGTTCGGTTCGGGACATGGATACCGAATGATGCTAAGATGTGAGACCGAATCTCATACCGAATAATTCGGGATCGGTTTGGTTTTGGTTCGGTTTCGTATGGTTTGGAATTTTCGGTATTTTTTTACACCCCTAGACAAACCTCTTTTTTACTTTTCTTATTTTTTTTCTAAAAGAAAGCAATTTGATTATATTCGAATGAAAATGTTTACTATGAAGCCAAAGTATTAAATAGCTATTCTGACTTAAGACCATCTCAATTATGAAAGCCTCATTTCTGGGCAACAAAAGAAGCCACTAGATGCGCTGCTTTATTGCAAACATGAGGAGCGAAGATAAATTCTACTGACCTCAACTGTTGTTTCAAGCACTGAACATCAAAGAGAATGCCTTCAATCACAACGTCAAGTTGAGTTTTTTCGTTAAGCATTTCCACTAGACATTTGGAGTCCGATTCTATCTGAACCATGATGTGTGCATATTTTCATATATTTTAATCGTATATATCCTTTGGATTTTGTCTATATGAATGGGTTAAATTAATGTACTAAATTATATTGTATTGATAAATTATGAAAGACATTACTATATAAAAGGATTTGGTTGTTGTCATTCTTTCGAACCTCGCTCTCTTTTAAGTTCTCCCCCCCCACCCCGATGACAATTCCTGGCTTCACCAAGGTAAGAGATTATGTTGGTATTTTTCAGGGTGCAGGCGACGGTGCTGACCTGCCATAAGAATCTAGTTTAATGGCGGAGGCAGAAGCGACATATATTCAAAAGGGCTTTGAGGTGGTTTGTTGCGAAAATTAGATATCCAAAATTAACCTCATTAAGTCTTGAATTTTAGTACTCGCAAGTATACGAATTGAATGATAGTATAGCATTGAAGCACCGATATGGTCCCAAAGAGATCGAATTTATTCCAAAGTCTTAATGTTGACCCTAAAAACTACCAAGCCTACGTGGCGCGCATGCCGAGTAATCTATGAGCTAACTACGTCATTCGATTGAATGCGGGGCGTGCCAACTCGTCGGCCGAGCTTGGCCGAGGAGTAAAATTTGTTGATGTTGCGTTGGGTGCGCGGCCGACTTCTGCGTCTTGCGATTGCGACCGAGGAAGGAACATGTCTCGGTCTCTTGGGTTCTCGAACCTGAAGACAAGGCTACTATTCTTACGAAGTTCACGAATCGTCGTCGTCAGATTCGGTCACAGTGATGGTATTCGTCAGAGTAAACTCACGCCGAATCGACACCAAAGTGTAAGGGCACAAATACTCAAAGCGGACATAAGTCTTAATGGTAAAAGTGGTTCAGCCATCGGAATGCCGAACTCTAAATCCCACTTGAGAGTATCCAATCATAACATAAACTCGGCGTGTAATGTGTCGAGCCCAATAAACTGTAACACTTCACTTCGCCGAGAAAGCTGATGAGATGACCTCGACCAATAAGGATTCGGAAATCCTTCTCGACCGAGACTTGGATAGATAATCAGTCGCCCTCGTTGCAGTGCTGTTTATCCAAACTGAAGGTGCTTCACGGTCGGCTGATTTTACGGCAACAGTGCTGTTTATCCAAACTTAAGGTGTTTGCCGGTTGCCTTCATAGTGCTGTTTATCCAAACTGAAGATGTGTCGGTGAAAAGATAAAGGAAAAAATCTCAAGGTTGTTGAGAGAGTTTGCGCAGGGCAGTTGTGTGTTGAATTGGATGAGGCTTTTTTTTTTTGTTCGTGGTACTGTATTTATAGAAGAAGAGAAAATCGTGTGCGCAACACCCCACCAGTGTAGAATTTGACTTCAATTCAAACTTATCAACTAGAACCTCAGTCAAAGACTTTTCAAGATAAGCAGGAGAACCATTCCTTCCTTCCTTATCTTTAGAAACCGTGCCCTCAGATTGTCTCCTAGTCCAATTAGAACTTTATGTCCACCCTATTGATCCAGGTGCAGCCATGCACGCAAAATAAGATAGAATATAATCCCCAAAAACTCTTTCACGTGGCCAAAACCAACATACCATCCAAAGGCATATAACTGCATACATCTTCCTCTGCTGCCGTGCCTTGTACATACCCTCATAGCCCATCATCATCCAAATCAATTGAGATTTAATCAAATAATAATTTAATATATTACTAAGAGATAACATCATGATTAAAATCATAATATTATCCTTTAATAAAAATATCTTCCCTTTTCCATCCGACGGTTGAGAACTATGTTTACTCAACGGCCTCGATTACACAGGCCGATGGTGTAAATTTGGGTCCAAACACTTACTAACTAAATTGAAACAAATTACAATTGAGAAGCTTTAACGAAAAAGAGAAATGATTTGAATTTAACTAAAATTTAAATAAAGCTTGAAAATAATAAATTGAAAACATAAGAAAAGTAGATATAGGGCATCTGAATTCACCGTAACCAAGTCTACTTAATTCTCTTAATATGTTATGCTCAAGTAGTTCTCCAATATTGATGATCAATTTTCCTAAATTATTCAATGGTCAAGACATCTGGTTGCATCAAAAGTAACTTACATGTGAACCCTATATGGCATCTAGATGGATTTAAATGGACTAGGATTCTCTCCCCTCATCTTTCCATCCCATTCCATCTCCTCCTCTCACACTCTTTATTTTGTCTTTCTCTTTCTATAAAAAATTAATATAAGATACTGACGTGGCTTAACCGTGACCGTTCAAATAGGAAGGGAGGGAATGAGGGAAAAAAGAGAGGAGAGAATCCTTCTCCGATTTAAACAAGTAAGAACCCATTAAGCTCTATGGAAGTCATTGGAAAATCACACAAACCCTAATTGCATGACATCTACAAATAAGTGTTTATGGTATCAATTGCAAGAAGCTAAACCCAAGTATGGCATCTACTCTAACTTGCATCAAATCAACTTAACTAAAACTTAGATGGTGATCAAGCATCTAAATAAAAATCAAGCGCATTACGAATAGCAAAAGATAAAATAAAACTCCAAAGTAAAACCCTAGCAAAGAAAAACTCCAAAGTAGCTCTCCTCTTTGCCGCAACCAAAATGCCCCCAAACTAATTTTGCTTGTCCTCGAGCAAACCAAAATAAAACGCAAAACTCAAAAGAAACAAATAGTAGCTAACTTCCCAAATTAACATATTTTCATATATGTTAGCTTGGTTTACTGCGTCAATTAGTGCTTATATCTTTTGGTAAACTTTCATAACGAATCATATTGAGTCATAATTTTTTTTAACATGTATCAATGACATAACCCGCTGCAGAACCAAACTGTAGCACACAATTCATCACTGCTATGACAGCTAAGACATTCCAAATCACACAAGTTTACATACATTGGGATAAAACCCACAGTTATTCATTGTTAAATATAATTACAATAAGTTGATTTTTGTTGGATGCAACCATCCAACTACTATGATCCTTCAGCGCCCAATGTTGGATTTTCTAAGGCGAAGAAACTCCATACTCAAAATCGTGGGGCATCGGCTGGAGAGAGATTGTCTTCGCGTCTTGGGTTGAAGTGCGAGACCTTGAAGAATATGAGAACTGGATCATCTGGGTCCTCTTCTTCTTATTATTCTTTCTTCAAATGCTTGTAACTCTTATGGTTAGAGAGAAGCAGAGAAAGGAAAGAGAGAGGGAAAGAGGGGGCGACGAGAGACGGGGGAGAGGAGAAAGTGGGTGAATCAAAGAAAAAAAGTAATAGGTGAGGGAGAGAGAGAGGGGAGAGGAGAGAGTGGGGTGGGTGAAAAAGAGTAATCTTTCTTTATACCCAAAAGGAGAAAAAAGATAAAAAAAGAAATTGCTCAGCCCATCCATTAACTCGTTCATCCACTCTATTTCTCACCTCTTCAAACACTTTCTTTTTAGAAGCACCAAAATCAGCTTGCAACCCCAAGTATTTGCCAAAACTTTCCTGGTGTTTAATGTTCAGAACCAACATCAAAAGCCTCTTAGTGTGCTTAGGACAATTAGCACTAAAATGCATTGAGCTCTTATCAAGATTTATTAATTGGCCTGAACTTTCGACATAGCGCCGTAGGAGGGAATTGATACATACCGCTTTGGACTCCGTCACCCAACAAAACACACGGAGTCATCCGCGAACAAACATGGGACAATTGAGCAAACTCTATTCTCTGCTCGGTCCATGACCTCAACGGCAACCGTCTCCTCCTCCACACGAGTTGCCAAAGAACGTTTCCTCCCTCCCCTAGCCGCTGCGGCTGCTTCAATCAAATGGAAGAAGGTCGAGAGGGTCCGAGTCTTGGGTCATGTTTCTCTCCTCCAAAACTGCATGTGCTCCTTGCTCAGCCCCTTCAAGAACGGGATGTACATGGTCAATTTCAGTCGCACCTACTGACTCTTCCTCCTCTACAGACGCTACAACATTAAGATCAAAGCCAACCCCATGACTTGCGTTTGTCACTGTCTGCGGGGGGTCATTCAACACCACTCCAATAGCATTCGAGTCTACCACTCCACCAGGTTTAATGAGGCCACCATCAAAAGGCCATTCCCGTAGCCTAGTCAGCACTTTTTTCTTTTTCTTTTTCTTTTTTTTCTTTTTGGTTAAGAAGATTACATTTTTCACGTACTTTCTTCTCTCCCTCATCTCTCTCGTCCCCTCTCTCTCACCAATTAATTCACCCACTTTCTTCTCTCTCTCTCTCTCTCTCTCCCTTCCTCTTTCCTTTATCTGCTTAGAACCAGAAGAATTACAAGCATTTGAAGAAGAGGAAGAGGACCCAGATGATCCAGTTCTCATATTCTTCAAGTCTTGCTCTTCAACCCAAGACCCTGAGCGCGGGAAGGCAATCTCTCTCCAGACGATTCCCACGATTTTGAGTATGGAGTCCACTCCCGCGACTACGACAACCGCACTCCGCTCCGCATCGCCTCGCTCCAAGGCTGGATCGACTTTCCGGTCACATACCAATCCCCGGCTGGATCGACATGCTGCTCCTTCCTTTCATGGTCTTCGGCTCTTCCTCCGTCAGTCCAATTCAGGCTAAGTTTCGTGTGATAGCATGCTGCGAAAGACCCCAATTGACTTGTATGCCATTCCGTTATGAGCATACCCGCTTAACAAGGCAGCCCACGAAACCACATCTTTCTTTGGCATTCTATTGAAGAGAACACCTGCTTTTTCGGGTGCAGAGCATTTCATGTACATATCAATCAGGGCAGTAGCTACCTTGATATCTAACTCGAAACACTTCCTAGTACCGATGTCGTGGATCTTCTTACCTTCTTCTAAATTACCTGCCAATGCACATGCTTGCAATGCACTTACCAGAGTCACTGAATTAGGTTCGATTCTCATATCAATCATTTCGTTGAAAAGATTTAACGCTTCTGTTACATCCCCATTATGAACGTAACAGGCAATTATGGAGCTCCAAGAAACTTCATCTTTTTCCGGCATCTTCATGAACAACCTAGCGGCAGTTTTGACAGAACCTGCCTTTGCATAGAGATTTAGCAACACATTACCTAAAGATAAATCAGAGTCGAATCCGTTCCTAATAGAAACACCATGCACACAACTTCCAATTCTAAAATTTGATAACTGCGCACAAGTTGAAACAACACTAACAAGCATCACTCGGTCAGGATTAATGATCCCCACCATCACAATTCGGGAGAAGAACTCCAACGCTTCTTCAGGATCACCATTCTGCTCATATCCAGTAACCATAGAAGTCCACAAAAACACATCCAGTTGCGGAAACTCATCAAACACTTTCACAGCCTCGCCCATTTCTCCACATTTGGAATACAATTTAATCAACAGAGAACCTACAAACATATCCAATGCTACCTTCTCATGTTTCTTCACAAGCCCATGTATTATTTTTCCACACACTAGCGCCCTTAACCTCGCACACGCCTTCAGAGCAATGAGAATGGTGAAATTATCAGGCTTTTCATCATTGCCTCTTGACTCAGGTATCATGTTATGAAATAGACACAAGGTCTCTTCCCATCAATTCTCTCTACAGTAGCTCCTAAGGGTGGCGTTCCAGAGATAGACAGTTCTGTGGGGCGTTTCGTCGAACACCTTGCGGGCATGACAAGGGACTCATACTTTGCGTACAGAGCGTTGAGTTTTGTGGCAAAGAAGCCGTCTTGGAAAAGGCCGGCTTTGAGGGTTTGAGAGTGCAATTGTGCCACTGATTTCCCGCTGTTACATGATGCAAGCAGATTAGCAAGGACTTCCCTCCTTTTCATGCAGAAGAACCACTTGGTCACCCAAAATAACCAGATCGAGTTTCGCTAGTGGTCACACTTGTTGTGGCTATATGCTGCATGTGTCGAATCCAATCAAGTGGGTTTTCTTCGTTTTTTTCCCTTGTGTGGTGTGTTTTTTTCTCTCTCTGACGAGATGTATAGAATTGGTATTAGAATATTATAAAACTTGTAGCATTTGCATGACAATTGTCGTTAGAATTAAGCAAGTGAAACGTAAGTTACATGTTTCATTTGTTATGAATGTGTAAAGGATAAATGCTTCACATTTTATCAAATTAAGATACCAATTTTAAGAATTAAGAGGCTATCCTTGTTTTGTTTCACTTGAGGAGATGAAAAGAATACATGAAATCCAGATTTATGAATCTAAACTATTCAGCAGATACATAACTTACTTAAATGTGTGTACAAAATCAACTTAAATATTCAAATATATGTGAATAGACAGACCATCAAGTCATTCTTGCAAAATATCACTCTCTTTCTTTTTCACTAATTCTCTTACTCTCTGCCGATTTTTGTTTTCCTATAGTTTTTACGTTTATGAGTGAATAAGGTGTATTATGAGCGTGCATTATATGAGTCTGGTAACACTAATGAGGAGGACTATCATACTATACTATATGCGTTTGATGGTGACGACGACTATCATACTATACCATATAAGTTTAGTGATGACGACGATTAATCCGTCAATGACAGATATAAAAAAACGCACAATCTATGACAAATACATTATTTTCCTTTTATTCAAGAATCTTTTGTATTTTCCAGTACAAAATCTTAGGCTCACACTTTTTTGCATTAACTTATATCAACCTTAATTGTGCTAGAATTCTTAGAAAATGAGATGTTAATTCTTAGCCATCAATCAAACCAGTGGTCAAGCTCATTAGAGTCCGTACGCTTTCACTCTATCCACCGCCCATTTTTCTTATCAAGAACTAGTGAAAAGCAGTAGCACGCACTTCCTAGTTCCAACGAATCTCTCCGACATGGGCTGGTATTTTCCATTCCATGCTAAAGGTTTTGCAAAGCTATTAAATCGAAGGGATCAGCGCCAAGTGCTGTCTCGCTCCAAATTATACATACAATTTTAAAACGTCAATGTGATGATAAACTCATTACATATAATCATTTTCAAATTTTATTAAAAAATAGTTGTAATGATCTTTCAACTTTAACCAATTGAAATGTTGGTCCCTCAACTAAAAATATGTGACTAATGATCCCTTAACTCATTAAAATGTACAACTATGGTTATTTCGTCAACTTCATTAGAACTTATGTCAAAATGAGTTATGGTGAAATGACCATTGATACAATTGGGTTAAAGTTATGGGACCATTGCTTCAATTGGGTTAAAGTTAAGGGACTATTACTCCAATTGGGTTAAAGTTGAGGGATCATTGCTACAATTTTCTCATTTGGTTTTTCATAGTTGCCCTTTGACTCAGCCTAACGTACATTGCACGAGACTCTTTTTTACGGAAGTTCAGACGAAGTTAACGAAAATGACCATAGTTGTATGTTTTGAAAAGTTAAGAGACCAATGATTATAAATTTTTAGGTGAATGATTATTATTCCAATTCGGTTAAAGTTGATTTCAACAATTTTCTTTTTTCCATTCCATGAAATGATTTTCAAACTTTTAAATCAAAAGAATCATCATCACGTGAATTCTCACTCCAAATATGCATACACTATTAAAACGTTACATCACGATAAACTGGTCAATGTAAATCGTTCTCAGATTTAAATGTTAGCCTAAAGCTCACGTTATTTCTTTCTTACTTTTTCTTTTCCATTTTTGCTCACTCGAACATGTGTCAACCTAACCGGCCTATGTGGCTACTCTTAGGCATCTATTTAATAAGACATATTTATCTTCTTCTTTTTTTGGTCACAACCCTAATAATATAATGCTTACCATCAAATACACCTGGCACATTTCATTGATCCAAATGTAAAGATATCAGACAAGAATATAACCAAAACGCAAAAGGGATTGTCTTCTAACAATTATTATTTATCAGAATGAAGGCACTTGTACTGCAAATGATTTTAAATGTAAAAATGAATAAATATCTTTAGGAAGTTTAATTAGTATTGAATTGTCGTGTTGTTATGCATCAAATTTTGTCTTGTAAAATTCAAAACATATTTATCGTGTAAAAGAATTTTATTGTTGGTCCAGTATTTTCTGAGCAAGTTCTTTTTCTTGTTGATTGCTAGTTGCAGATATAGTTAGGGTATCATGGTCTCATGATATCCTTACGTAATCTTTTTTTCTTTGAGGCTTATGCCCCATTGTCAACCAAAAAAATTATCTTATGAGAAGACTTTTTAGTCAAAATGGTCCATGAGATTAGTATTACTACTCATTTTGGTCTCTAACAATGAAAATCAACGTGCTCCTTGAGTTTGTTCATTGAATATCATTTTGGTCATTTTGTGAAAAATTTGTTGATATCCTCGTTAAATCTTCACATGAGCGACCGTGTGACTACTTTTTAAGGATATTTTTGTCAAAACAAATCCTCCACTTAACGTGGATATTGACATATTTTTCACGAAAAGAACAAAACTAAAAAGTTTTATTAACAAACTATGTCAATATCTTCGTTAAGTGAAGGGGTTGGTTTTACAGAATACCCTTAAAGGTTGTCAAGTGGTGCTCAACGGGGAAATTGACAAATTTTTCACGAAATGACCAAAATGATTTACAATGGACAAACTCAATGACCACTTCTATCGATTTTCATTATCAGAAACCAAAGTAAGTAGCTATGTTAATCCCATGAACTATTTTGGCTAAAGATGTTGGTTTGACAAAAATAACATTTAAAAAGTGGTCACGTAGTTGCTACAATTTAGTGACGATGTTCATAGATTTTTCACAAATTGACCAAAATGATTTTACAATGGATAAACTTAAAGACCACTTCTATCGATTTCCATTCTCAATGATTAAAAAAAATTATGCCAATATCAGAGTAATAAAAATAAATAAAAAATTGAGAATCTAAGATGAATACTTTGTTTTTCTAAAATCTAACTTCTTTTAATTGATGAAGAACATTTGTAAGCGGTCACAATCAAGTTCGAATAATTTATACACCCTAAAATCAATTCGTTAATTAACTTACTTGAATCGTGTCTTTTTGACATTCGATCTTACGTTGTTTCACAATGCACCTATAGCTAGAGGGCAACGAAGGTCTACGTGGATAAGCTGAGGTGCAAAACACACGAGTGCAGCTAAATAACTGAAAGGGACAGAAGGAAGAAGCAGAGCATCCGATGACAAATGGTTTTCCTTGGACATCCTTCTCTCTCTCTCTCTCTCTCTCTCTCTCTCTCTCTCTCAGATATAAAACACTGCATTGCAAGTTTGCAACATAGATTTTTCACAAACCCAGAGAGAGTTGGGATGTCTCAGTTCTTCTGCTTCGAGCTCGAAGTCGAAACCGATAACATTTCATGATCACATCAACGTAAGCTTACCCATCTCGTTTCTTTTTACAAATTTTGCTTCTTCGTTCTTGTTCATCATTTTTTTTTTTGTTGAAAGATTTCATTTTTCTGATGTTGTTATATATTGTCAAAGATGCAATCTTTTTCGAGAGACGTGGGTTAGGCAAGTTGGTTGCGTCAACGTGCCATGTTGCACGCAAGTTCAATCCCGTCTCTAGAGATTAAAATAGTTTAGAATATCATTTTGTCGAAAAAGAATTTAACTTTTTGTTTTTGGGTTATGTATGTGTATGGGGTTGAATGCAATGCAGATTGGAGCTGTGAAGCCAATTGTGAACAGAAACAAGAGGGAGGTCCGGGCTCAAAACGATGCCGTTGAATATAGTGAATAAGGGTGATGGATTTCCCCGAATCATACTCACCGAGCCAACTGGTTCTTCAGCAGAGGTTGGTTTCAAAATTCAAATTTCAATCAATCATGTTCTCACTTTTTTACTAATATTGATATGATGGCCTAAAGTTAACAACTTGGTCGTAGACCTTGGCGTAGCCAAGTTAGATAGAGCAGTTATACACTTTATGCACCCGAGTTCGAATTCCCCTCTTCCCCAATACTAGTTTTAGATTAGATTGTTTAGATTCATATCGCTTGAACCGAAAAAAAGTTGACAACTCGATCGTTGATCCATGATGTGGATAAATTAATGTGCAAGAGTAATCTAATTGGGCTGTTCTTAGTTCTCTTTTCTGAAAGTGTGGTCACCAACTGTTTGATATGATGCAAATTGTTTCAGGTGCTTCTGTATGGAGGGCAGGTTGTTTCGTGGAAGAACGAAAGACGCGAAGAATTGCTCTTTATGAGTAGCAAAGTATGAAGATTAAACTTCTTCCCGCGTATGCTTGGTTTAGAATTTGAGATTGTTTTAATTTGAAAAACTTATGTTAGCCCTTGTAAAAGTGATTTTCATTCCCTCTGTACTTGACTAATTATGGGGATGTTTTCTACTCGTGTAGGCTACTGGGAAACCGCCTAAAGCGATCAGGGGAGGCATACCCGTCTGCTTTCCGCAGGTTGGAGAGTGAGATATTATTACAATTGACAAGCTTGTTAAAAAGCTTTATGTTCTTGTTCTGAATTCTGATTGAATTACTCATCCTGCTTGTTGCAGTTCGGAAATTTTGGTTCGCTGGAGCAGCATGGATTTGCAAAGAACAGATTGTGGTCTGTTGATAGTGACCCTTCGCCTTTGGCTCCAACTAACAATCAGACGTCAGTGGATTTGATCTTGAAGTCTACAGAAGAGGATCTAAAGACCTGGCCGCGCAGGTATATTCTCGGAATCTGATCATTTCATTGGATGTGATTACTGCCGAAGGACATCACCACTTGTCTAATCCTGTGATTCTTTTTCTGTGGTTTGTTTAAGCTTTGAGCTCCGGCTTCGTGTTTCTCTCAATGCTGGCAAGCTCACTTTGATTCCCCGTGTTAGGAATACGGATAGCAAGACCTTCTCCTTTACATTTGCCCTGATTAACTACTTATATGTATCAGATATCAGGTGCGCCTTGTAACTATGTTTGTGACGTTTAAGATCGTTACCTGTATGACTTTCGCAAGTTCTCAAATTTACTGTTGATGTTATTGAGAGGGGAATGATTACACACTCCCCCCCTGCACACCCCCTCTTTTTCTAGCCTTTGGAATTGGATTGATAAACCAAAGGAGAATCAATGGACATAAATCAGCAGGTGTGTGGAGATGGAAAAAAAGAGTGAATTTCATTTCCCATTGAAAGAAAGTATGTCGAGTACTTTATTAGCCGCTGAGGCGGGAAGAAATTGTATTTCATCCTTTTCAGAGAGGTCGCATGATGCTCTTTAATTTGCAGTGAAGTGCGTGTGGAGGGCCTGGAGACACTTGATTATCTCGACAATCTGATGCGCAGAGAAAGGTTCACAGAGCAGGCAGATGCTATCACCTTTGATGAAGAGGTACAACTACCTTCGATTTCTCTCAGTTTAAAAGCCGCCTTTTCTATGTACTGGTGGTAACTCATTAAGTTATATGTGTTTCTGTTTTCTCAAATTCTTGTTCCTCGTTAGGTCAACCGAGTGTATTTGGGCACGCCGACAAAGATAGCCATGATAGACCACGAGAGGAAGAGAACCTTTGTTATGCGGAAGGATGGCATGCCGGATGCAGGTTCTTTAATCTTGATTAGTTTTGTAAATCGGCTTTTTTTTTCCCTTTTGTTGATATGGTCCTAAGAGGTCGCACTTTGTGCGATGGCAAGTGTCTTCGCCCATGAGCGGTAAGTCTCGGTTCGAGACTTGGGAGCAGCCTCTCCATAAAATGGGGGTAAGGTTAGCCGACATTCACCTCTCCCAGACCCTGCGTAAAGCAGGAGCCTTGTGCACTGGGTACGACCTTGTTGATATGGTCCTAATTATAAGAAGTTTCTCACATTATGCTAGAAAATCGTGTGATCTGCAGTTGTGTGGAACCCTTGGGACAAAAAGGCCAAGACCATCCCTGATTTGGGAGATGAGGACTACAAAACCATGTTATGTGTAGATTCTGCGGCCATTGAAACCCCAATTTTCTTGAAGCCTTCCGAAGAGTGGAAGGGCCGTCAAGAACTCTCTACCGTGTCATCAAGCTATTGCAGTGGGCAGTTGGATCCTCGCATGGTTCTTCATGGCCTTTACTGACCAACCAGTGGCGTAAACGGAGGTCTTGTTGTAATTTAAGTCCCCTTATTTGATGTACCTGAGACATCCTCTCGTTGTTCATGTATTGTCCTTGTTGTGGTACTTAGGATTTTCCTGAAGCGAAACAACGTTAGCTGCGTGTAAAATGTGGGAATAACATTTGCAGGATTGCACTGTCACATATCGGCAACAGAATACATGTTCGGTATTTGAATGTTGTTTAGTGAATGTGTTTCATGATGCCATAGCGTGTTTTATTTCATTAATCCCTTTTTGCCTTACCAGAAACCGTAATAGCGGATGTCGAAAGGAACAGTTTTGAATCATTAAGCTCTAATTATGTTATTAAGTGCGTAACCAAGTCAATGAACAAAAACAAGGACACATTCTCATTGCTTTCCTTACTGAGTAATTGCTTCGCCCCATAGGCGGCAGAGTTTTAGATGTTTTTTTCGTGCTTAGAAGAGCGAAAGCAGGGATGTTCCAAACTTCTCCTTCGCATCCTTGTCGAAGGGGTCGTCTCCCAGATACATGTGGACATCGGCTCTGCACTAGATTTCACTCTCTAACTTGCTGACAACCTCGCCAGTCACTGCTAGTCCTGGCATTTTAGACCCGATTCGTAAACCCAATCCGACCCGTTAATATTAGTATTTGGATAGATGCTTAATGGGTCGGGTCGTTGACAAGTGAACTCATTAACAACCCGTTAAATAACGGGTCACTTTGGGTCAACCCGTTAGATCCGTTAGCACCCGTTAGTTGAGGATGTTTTAGTAATTTCAGTAAAGTTTTAATAACACAAAATAAACTCTATGCAAATAATAATAATTATTATTATTATTAACGGGTCGGGATCAGGTGACCCATTGACTTAACGGGTTGGATTGAACCCAACCAAAACCCGATAAACTCGACCCGTTTACAAATTATAGGTCTAGTCACTGCACCCAAAAGCAAGCACCGTTTTGTTAATGTTGTGTTGAGATCAAGCGTGTACATAACAACTTATGTTTATACACCTTATTTTGCTTATCGGATCTAAAATCTCACCTTTTGTTTGGAGAATGTTTCCGGGAAGCCGAGAAATCTCAGTTACAGAACCAGAGGTCAGCTTAAGGTGCCGGAGTAAAAGAGAAGGACCCGAAGTGTGATTAGAATGGAGTTCTGTAACCCTAAACATCTCCAAAACGTCATGCACAATCTATACGGTGAAGTTCAACCAAAATTTCACGTAAAAACGTTTTATGGTCCATCCGGAGATGATTTTCACGTACTGTTTTTTGCTTCTCGTACAACCTCTTTTATTTCTATGTATCAGATTAGATTGAATGAATCAAACATAATCAACGAAGATGAGCAAGCATGAGTATGTAAATGGTTAAAAGGGGTGTGTTCTTATCACTTCCTTTATGATGATTTTATTAAACTTCGTAAAACCGACTAAAAATCGTAATAGTTATCGAATTTTTAATCAGGCCGGGCTGCGCTGCCCCAAGTAAAGCCCATTGAACACAGGCCTGGACCCAACAATGGATTTTCCCTTATGAGCCCAGAAGAAAGCGCGAAACCACAAATTTGCAGAGCAAGGGTTTTTGCAGACAAAGAAGAAGAAGAAGGGTTTTAGAGGCGCAACGAAAAGCAATGGCCGATAACGAATCGAGCAAAAAGCGGAAGAGAGCGGGGCGTCGCAATAAATCTCACGCCCAAAAGCTCAAGCTTTCCACCGAAAGAGAAAGCACTTCCCCAAAAGCTGAAAGAATCAATGAAGAAGCAGCAGAGAATCCAAAAGCTTCTGTTTCTGCTTCTGCTAAGCCCTTAAAATCGCAGGGAAAGCTCTCGAATTCGTCAAGCTTTCTCGATAAGGTGTGTGTTTTTATCGAAAGAATTTAACTTTATATGAAATTAATTGACGGAAATTGTTGAGTGGAGTTGTGGGTTTTGATTGCAGATGAAAGCAAAGCTATCCGGAGGCCATTTTCGGATGATTAACGAGAAGCTCTACACTTGCACGTAAGTTTTTACTGCCCATTTCTTATTGTTCGTTCTAATTTTTTACTTTAGTTAATGGGAATTCAAGGCCAAATTTTTTTTAAGCACTTTGGTGCTTCTCTTCAAGTGCTTTTTCAGGATTCACTTGCATTTTTATTAAGGATCAGTTCCAAAAACATTTTCACCAAAAGCGCTTTAAGTTATTCTTCCAAATGAGCACCCCTGTTTTTATATTGAATTGTGAAACATAAGTTGGGATTAAAAAGTTTTCGATTGTTTTCGAGTTGTGTAATTTCGCCTCAAATGTGTATATGTATAAGTTTTAATGATAATGAAATTTCGCCTTGAATGTGTATATATGTATAAGTTTTAATGTTTGTTACATTGCTTCGATCAGTGAATGTTTGGCTTAATTTCATATGTGAAAAGAATTTTTGCCTTTGCGGAATTCACTTTAATTTGATTCCCCATTTTTAGTGGAAAAGAGGCTCTTGAGTATTTCAATGACGACCCGACATTGTTTGATACAGTAAGATTTCTTCTTTATAAAGAACTCGTTTCGACCACCCTATTTACTGTGCATTCTCTCATATGAGATGGCGGAGTTTTACTTTGAGAGTTGACGTGCTTTATTTACTTGCTTGGCCAGTACCACACAGGATATCAAGAGCAAATGTCACATTGGCCTGAGCTGCCAGTTGATATAATCATCAAATGGCTTAAAGAGCATAGCCCTTCTCTGGTCGTGGCTGATTTTGGATGCGGTTAGAGTTTAGCTAACTCCATTTTTCGTAGTTTGCTGATTGTTTGTTTACTCTCACATGTCGACATTCATTTGGTGGCTACATTTAGTAATTTTGTTCTGTTGTTTTACAGGGGATGCACGTCTAGCAAAAAATGTGAAGAATAAAGTCTTCTCCTTTGATCTCATATCCAACGATCCTTCAGTAATATCCTGTGATATGGCAAATGTATGTGCTTTCATTTGGATTTTAGGTTGAATCATAAAATTTCTTATACTTATGCATAGATTTATAAAAAAATTTCTGGCTCCTTGCTAATTTGTAGAGGATAGCATTTATATACTTGAAGCAACCAAGCTGCGTATGTTAATATTTAAGCAAAATTGTTACTGTCATGTATGTGCTGTTAAAAATTTATCTCCGGTTTTTTCTTGCGTATTCTTTTAAGAATTCATTCCTTCCACATGTTTGCAGACACCCCTCGGCTCTACATCTGTAGATGTTGCTGTGTTCTGCCTTTCGTTGATGGGGACAAATTTCCCAAATTACCTGAATGAAGCACACAGAATACTTAAGCCACGGTCTGTGTGCCATATTCTTTTGTACTTTTGATTCAGTTATCCTACTGAGTTCTTATCCAACTGATGGGTTGTTTTTCATAGTGGTTGGCTTTTGATAGCAGAAGTGAAGAGCAGATTTGACTCGACTACTGGAGGAGCCGACCCAAAGACATTTACAAAAGCCGTATGCGATCTTGGATTTACCTCAGTGTCAAAGGTATCTTTATGTTCCTCTCATTTCCGCGGATGGCTTAAGATATTTTGTTTCTGCTAATCGTATGTGCATTTTCTGCAGGATTTCTCAAACAAGATGTTTATATTGTTTTACTTCAAGAAAAAGGTTAGACATTGTTAGAATAAACTCAGTCATATGATTTACACATCAGTTACATGTTTCTGGATCTCGTAAGGTTCCACTGTTATTAACAATCTCTACATCTGTTATTCTCTAGGAGGAGCAAGATTCAAAGAAAAAGGACATTGAATGGCCTGAGCTGAAACCTTGTTTGTATAAGCGCCGCTGAGAGGGAAGCTACCGGTGTTTGTGCCAAGTTCATCGTCTTCGTTACTCAGTTTTTCGGTCAAAGAGGAAGTTGTACACCGGTAACCTGTGCGTTAGAATTGACAATTCTTTCAGCCGCTTAAGTTTCTAAGTACTGCTGATCAGTATATTTCTATTTTTGTACCAAAAGAAATACAGTTCTACTTGTTTTTCTTTCGGTCATAAATTTTGTATTGGTTTCATCTGTATCTCAAACGAACTCATATATCTTTTCGTGCTGTTAATTTTGTGGATTGCTACTGAAATTGTTTTCCCGCTGTATCCATCAATGATTTGTAGGGATATACAATCTATTAACCACGTTCTGCGCAGTTGTTGTAGTGATATTACCTCTCTCTGAATTGCACTGTACAGGGATTATGTTTCCGTGGTTCTCTTTATACAGGATTATCTGGCAGGACAAGAAGATCATGCAAGACTCCGGTGACCATGAATCTTAGAACAAGTGATGCCACGGGGATTTTGGCGAAATGGTCAATCTTTTCCGAGATGAAACGGACAATAGTTCTTGTACGACCCAAGTAACCTGAAGATTTTGAACCACCGTGTCAATGGACGGTTTGTACCAGTTAAAGCCTCTATTTACACAGTTGAGAGAGCCTGTTTTCAGTCAAACGCGCAGGGGATCAGATTCAACAGGATGACCGAAGTTTTTAGCCCAGTTAGTTTTCTTTTCCGTTAGTTGTGCGACGTTACACAACCCCTTCGGCCTTTTCCTCTGTCAATTCAAACTCAACGCTGTTCATGGAAATCAAGATATGGAAATCAACGTTTTCTTTTCCGTTATTTTGTTTATCATTCTCGATCCTCAAGCGGTGTTTAGTATTTGCACCAAAATTTTCGTGAACAATAATATTATAGTTTAAGAGTGTTTGGATAAGTATATTCACTCTCCAATTTGACGGAAAGTGTTTGAACTGTAAGACATACTCCGAAATCATAAGAACAAGACAATCACGAATATACTAAACCACATTGACATGAAAAGAAATAAACTTATCTGCCCAAGAGGAAGAAGAAGAATCCATGGTTGCTAGAGTTTCTAACGGTAATGGGACTCCAAATCTTAATTAGTTGCATAGAATAAGGACTCCAAATCTTAATTAAAATAAGATTCCCTCAACACCAATTAACTCGTTGGCCAAGTTAATTGATTACCAAGATATCAGTAAATCATATTCATTGACACTCACATGTTTACAAGAAAGTACGTATTTGATAAGATGATTTTCATGTAATTGATATTGTATAGATACGTGATTCTATTATACCTCTAGATTATAGGATTCCTTATTGTAGAATAGTTGTATTTATTCACATTTTATCAATGAAACACATAAGTTGCCGATATTCTTTTTCTACACTGCAACTAGGACCAGGATACCCTCCCTCCTCCTGCTGCTCCTAAATTTGCTGCTCGGTCTGCCGAATGAGGGCCGCAAAATACAAATGCATTCCCTCCGGCGTGTTGGCAGACATTCTTTTCAGGCTGCCTGTGAAATCTCTGAAGCGGTTCGAATGCGTATGCAAATCCTGGTATGATCTCATCAAAGACCCGAGTTTCAACATCCAACACCTCCATCACTCCAAAAGCGTGAATCAGCATTGTCTCCTTCAGAAAGGTATACGTAATAGTCATGTCTCCTTGCTTTGTTTCGACGAAATATCGCTTCTTTCTCGGCATCGGCTAAACTTACCCTCGGTCTTTTCTGAAATTTTGGGTCCTTGCAATGGAATCTACTGCTTCATAAGGCTTAATGTCGAATTCGAACTGGATCTTATTGCACTGGCAAATGTTTCACTCAGAGAATTCATGGTTGTTCCAGACTTGAGCATCTCACATCCTCACAGCCAAAGTCAAAGCGTGAAACTATGTGGATTTGGATTTGATCGTAAAACCAATGATTACAAGTTGGTTTTAATTCTCAGTTACGCAGATAGAGCAACGGGGATCGAATTCGATTGTAAGGAGGTTGTATATAGCTTGCGTTCCAAGTCATGGAGAGAATTAGATCATACTTTTCCGTATGCTGAAGTTACCCATTGGCTTTCTCCGTTTTGTAAAATTAGCTATTGGCCTTTCCTTTTGACGAGTGACAGTGGCACCTATGTCAACGGGAATTCTCACTGGTTGGTCAGTGATACCACTCATTGGTTGGCCAACGATGATATTCGTTATACAATTCGTTATTTTGACATGGTTGATGAAGTGTTCCGACGGATTTCGCTTCCAAAGTTACCGGAGTTTTCCTCGTACGGTGACATGTATGTCGATATTAATGCATTGTACACTGATTCACTTTCCGTGGTTGTTCGTCCGAAGTCTTATATCCCTGACAAGACTTGTGAAGTATGGATCATGCACGACTACGGTGACGATGAATCATGGACTAAACTAGTTACGATAGGGCCAGTTGAAGGCATTGCAAGGTCACTGAAGCTGTTGGGATTTTGGCAAAAAGGAGAGTTTCTTTTCGAATATGACGAAGAACAAGTGATCTCATACAACCCAAACACTCAGAAGATCACTCAGAAATTCCGAATTTGTGGATCATTGCGAGCTTACACAGAGAGCTTGGTTTCAATCGTAGGAGACCAACGGGACGACCAAAATTTGTTGTTTGATATTGTTAAGGAAGGTGATGATCCAGCTCTTCAACAACCCACATCTTCGTCATGATCATTTAGTTCGTGTTCATGTAATTGCCTTGTTGATTTTTGTTGTTGTTAGGTTGCCGGATTGCCAGAGAAATTGCGATACCTTCTTTTGTTTTGTTGATATAATATTTGGCTTTGGCTTTTTTTCAGCGAAATACTTGCTTGATATTTCGAAGTTTAGCATGTTTTTTGTATTTAATGAACACAACGATGTATTTGTAATAAAAAACGGCAGATTTGAACTAAAAGACACAATAAGCATGTCAAAATAATTTAATTTATTTACCTTAACATTTGATACTTCAATCCATTTGCCTCCAACCTGAAATCTAATTCACAAATCCTCATTGTCTTTTGTGATGGGTGAATTAGATTTGGCTTATTTTATTTGCCTCCAGCCTGAAGCCAAGTAATGTATTTTATTACTTTCTAACAAGACATTGATAATTCAATTTTTGTGATGGGTTTTTGGGTGGTGGATACCAAAACGGTACTTTCCAGAAGTTCCCATTGAATGATTGTACGTATTCTTCTTATCGTCAATTTTACCTTTCTTATCTTCGTAAGTATTTTCTTAACATTCACAACAAAATAACAACAAAATCTTATCTCTATTAAGTAAAATCGATTGTATAAATCTTAAAATGCCACTGCACTCGGTTTTGAGCTAAATTTTCTGATAGCTCTTTAAAATTCATTATTATAGAGATTCGAAGTGTCGGCTGTCGATTACTTGACACCCTCTCCCTCCTCTTTTATCTAGCTCTAGACTGTCATCGTAAGATTACAAATGCAAAGTACGCAAGATAAACTTATATAGACAGGGTATGTAAGATAAACTTTCACAAGTAGAGTTTTTTTTTTATCATTCACAGAGCCCAATTAAATAAATAAGTCACATATCTTTCACTTGATTGTAATATATATTTTTGCAAAATTGTATTTAACTAATTTAATTAGAGTATAAATATAGTCGCGTATTTTCCATCTTGGTTCAAAATACATTCTATTGCAATCATGTAGGTAATTTGGTTAAGGGGTAATAGAAAAACATTAAAACAAGGGAAGCACACTATTCCCTGACAGAGACTCAAGTTTATCTCTGGATCCAGAAGACAAAAAATTCCACACGCGGAGAAGACGCAATAAATTAATCTCAACTGACTCACTTCCCACCCACCACCGCCGCCGCCACCGACGCATCCACCAAACTTCCAAATCTCCCCACCGAAGTCCTCCCAGTTTCATCCTCCTCTGCCTCCCTCAGCTCTATCTGCTTTGCTCCCTCTCTCTCTCCCAATAATTAATCTAATCCACTCCCACTGACAGAGCTCTCATCAGTGGCCATTTTTAAATTGAGGAGTTGTTGGTGGGTGCCTCTGGGTTTTTATTCTTTGCCCCCCAAACAAAAGGCACACCCTAGATTTATAGGATCCTCAACCATGATTCTGGGGATGGGTCTGTTTTCTGAAACCTACAGTACCAGGCATGTGCTTTTCTAATAGGAAGTCTTCATCTCTCTCCCTCTTCAATCATACAAAATCTCCTTACTTTATTACTATTACTTTTATTCCATTTTTATCTTGACCAAAGCTTCTATCTTTACTTCAAATGTGGTCCTACAAATAAAGGGTACCCCTTGTTTTGGTTAATCAGTCAGTGTATGTTGTTCTTGTTTTAGAATTTCAGAGAGAGAAAACTATGGGATCTGGAAATGGGGTTTATTCAGTTGGGGATTTCGATTTGGATGCCAAGTGGCTGATCGATCCAAAGCAACTTTTTGTTGGTCCGAGGATTGGGGAAGGCGCGCATGCCAAAGTGTACGAGGGAAAGTAAGTCAAACCTCAGTACAACCTCTGTGTTTGTTTTGTCTTAGATTCTGAATTTCTGGTCTCTCAGGTTTAGGAATTTATAATTTTGTCTTAGATCTTGTTAAATATAAATGCAAAGTTGAGTTGGGTTTTAGCAGAACTAATCAAAGATCGAAACTCTTCAGTTTTCTGAACAATCCCAGGTTTGGTGTTGTGCAATTGTGGTGCTTATGATGCCGAATATGTGTTTTTCGTGTCGAGTTACAACGAAAATGTTCTGTTCTGTTGTGTTCTTAATCTGTTTGGTGTTGTGTTTTGTTTGTTCTAGATATAAGAATCAAAATGTTGCTGTAAAAATTGTTCCTAGAGGGGAAACTCCAGAGGAGATTGCCAAGAGAGAAGCCCGGTTTGCGAGGGAAGTGGCAATGATGTCGAAAGTGCGGCACAAGAACTTAGTGAAGGTTGTTTGTCTAATTTTCGATAAGTAGTTGTGATAAATACTCGGCGTATTTGCAATATCTGATGGGGATTTTGTTACCTGTGTATTACCAGTTCATTGGTGCCTGCAAAGAACCTGTAATGGTCATAGTGACCGAGCTTCTTCTAGGCGGGACTTTGCGCAAATACTTGTTCAGCATGCGGCCAAGGTGCTTGGACACGCATGTGGCAGTTGGGTTTGCGCTTGATATTGCTCGTGCTATGGAATGCTTACACTCCCATGGAATCATTCACCGGGACCTGAAACCTGGTATGTGGTTTAATTGATTGTTTAACATAAAGCTTGACCTTTGAGAAAGATTAGTGAAGTATATCTCTGAGCATGCGTCGAATGTGGAAATCTGAAGAATTGTTATTAGCATAGGTAGCTGATAATTTGGTATTCAACGTGATTGAAGACCTCCGTACTTTTGCAGCAGAATTAACTTCAGGATCACAAAAACGAATTGCTTTAGTTCACTTAACTCTCATTTCTTCTGCTTAGGGATGTAACTATTGTTAGGGCAAAGTTTATTTCCGAAAACAGGGATTGCTCCCCAATCTCACACTGTTGTCCTGTCCTTTTCCCAGAGAATTTGATCTTGACCGCAGACCATAAAACTGTCAAACTTGCGGATTTTGGCTTAGCAAGGGAAGAGTCGTTGACAGAGATGATGACCGCTGAAACTGGGACATACCGGTGGATGGCTCCTGAGGTACGGTACTTAACTTGATCATGTTAACTTGATCATTCAAAAGTTGAAAATATGTTTCTCGTATGGCTTGTGAGAGTGTGTTTTATTTCAGCAAACTAATTATCCACGTTTGTATTTGGTGACAGCTTTACAGCACGGTTACATTACGACATGGAGAGAAGAAGCATTACAATCATAAGGTGGACGCTTACAGCTTTGCAATTGTATTGTGGGAACTCATCCATAACAAGCTGCCTTTCGAAGGCATGTCGAATTTACAAGCAGCGTATGCAGCCGCTTTTAAGGTAAGAAAATACCAAAATAGTTCTTATTCTGTTACTCATAACTTGGTGCTTGTTTGGCATCGCAATCTGAGGTTATACGAATTGTTTCAGAATGTTAGACCCAGTGCCGAAAGCCTACCCGAGGATTTGGCTCTGATCGTAACTTCATGTTGGAAAGAGGATCCCAATGACCGGCCCAACTTCACCCAAATTATACAGATGCTGCTGCATTACCTCTCTACTATTTCGGTGCCAGCACCCGCTATCCCCCAACGGATGTTCAAATCTGAGAACGCTGTACTCCCACCAGAGTCACCCGGTACTAGTTCCTTGATGGCTACACACAACTCCGGTGAAACCGCTAAAACCAACACGGACATGGAAGATAAAACTAAAGGTTTTTTCTCCTGCTTTAGACAGTGTTATTGATACTGAAAGCTGTAATCTTAGGAAAAAAAACTATAATTTTCATTTAGCGGCCTACGGTCTGATGTTACTGTCGAAATTCAGATGGTGTTTAGGTTTAGTTTGGTCTCATTGAGATCAAACGAAAGGAATTTTTAGAGTTGTGGAGTTGGGGTTGCTGTGATGTATTGACATTGTAAAAATAAGGGTTCATCCAAAAGCCTATGCTCCTATTCAATAAAATCTCTTCTGAGAGTATGCCATAATCTCGCCACCTTCTACTTAAGTTTGAATCTTCATTCCCGTACGACGAAATTTAATTTGAACATCGTTTTTCGAGATGAAGAAAGTAACTGGGAAGAGGTCCAAATCTTTGGGTTTCTGGAGTCAGGTAACAAAGCTCACAAACCAAAAACTATGAAAAAAAGATTTAAAAATAATAATCGCCGTTGCCGGGGATCGAACCCGGGTCACCCGGGTGACAGGCGGGAATACTTACCACTATACTACAACGACATTTTGATGACAGTTTCTTCTCCAAAATATATTTAATTCAATATATTAATATTTAACAAGCTGCCCGAGCTGGCTACTGCCTGGTGCTTGCTGCCCAAGACAATCAGTCACATCAAACGGGCAGAAGGGCCGCAATTACGGGGAATTGCAGGGGTAAAATCGATAATCCACAAAACTCCACAAAACGTTTCCATATGTAGCTTGGGGAGCACGGTAGCCACCTCATCAAATCCGACAGTAAATTACCGTAATGGCACTTGCTCGGTTTTCGAGCCCCCACAAAAGCTCGACAGGACAGCTTCGTTCTCTCCGAACCTCAGCCTCGGACACAATTTCGTCAACCTCCGGGCCCCACTGAGAAGGCCTCGCGGCGGTTCCGCCTCCTCGACGACCAAAGATTCTGAATCCAAACCTGGGTCCGGAGGCAAAGGCTCGGAGGGTCCGAAGCTGGATTTTCCCGCTCACACAGACACTCTCTCTCTCTACTTTAACTTAATCCTGTGGAGAAAGGGTCGAGCTCTCTCTCTCTCTCTCTCTCTCTCTCTCTTAAAACTCCATATAAGTTGGGACGCGCTTCGTCGAACGCGGTCTCCTACTTCGAAGAAATGGCAAGGTGAGAAACCCTTTCACTCATCAGCGGTGAAAATATGGCCGGACAATACATAAATGCATAAATAAATTAAGAAATAAATAAAAGAATTTCTGGAAAGCTTCTTTTGATTGGATACAAAATTTTCCCAGCTTCTTCAACCCATGTAAATTTTTCTTGTTTAGTTTTGGTTTCTGGGTTTTTTTTTTTTTTTTTATTCGGATGAACGGACAGTTTCGAAAGTTGTTTGCTTTGTTAGTGTTGAGATGCTGGATTTGGATTTAAATTTTGATTTTTTGGGGATTTTGTGGGAAACCCATCAAACAGGAAGATTCAATCTAGCTCTTTGATGCGTAAAGATTTTTAATTTATATGGGAGTTTCCTGATTTGGGATAAATGTTCAGATGATGTCAAAGCTTCTATTTTATTAATGTTGGGTTAAAAAAGGAAACTTCCTTAATGTTGCGTGAAACATGACATGTACAGATGTTTGATTGATTCCATGGCTTTGTTAATTTTCTTGTGAATTTGGGGTTTTTCTGAAAAACTCATATCTGTTTTCACCTTTTCGATTGTACGGGGAATTAGAACGGATGAATGAAAGCTTTTACGTTTGAGAAATAAGAGTGCGTGGTAGCAAGGGTTTTTCAACTTTATCTATGTGTTTAGTTTTCGTCCATGAACTCTCATATTTGTTTCTCTCGTCCTCTAGCTTAACTCTGCGTTGCATTAGTGGTCACAGTTTGGTTTCGGGTGTTTTCTCTGTTGGTCACAGCTTCTTTAGGGGTTCTAGCTAAAAATTGGTTTTGTGATAAAATTTTGTGGCTTATAGTGTAATGTTCTTGTAGGGCTTGGCTGATCAACAGTAGAGGACTTGCAAGCAAAGTGAAGAATGCTGCTCGGTCGACCGCTTGTCCGATCAAAGAGTGCGGGGCAAATCGTGAATGCCCGAATTGCCATTTTGTTATAGATAACAGCGATGTAAGCTGGATTTTTTGTTGTGTTCATATGCAATTATTTATATGTTCTCCAAAACAAAAAACAAAAAAAAACTCAACTTTCTGCAAATATGTAAGCTTTTTTTTCTTTTAAGTGCTTCTGCAAATCCACTTGTGTAGGTTTTATCGGAATGGCCTGGCTTACCGGTTGGTGTGAAGTTTGATCCATCTGATGGTGAACTCTTAGTACACTTAGCGGCTAAGTGTGGTGTCGGAAACTCACAGCCACACTTGCTTATCGATGAGTTCATCCCTACACTTGAGGGGGATAATGGAATTTGCTATGATCATCCCAAAAACCTTCCTGGTAAGTAGCTCCCATACTTCATATTTCTGATTTCACGTGTTCATCGTGCATCATCTACTCGTGCTTGAAAATGATATCAACTGAACCAAATTGAACTTATACTTAGAACTTTTTTTCCCCTTTTTTGGTGTCGAAGGATGCAACTTAATGAGATTAGCTTAGCTGCTCTCTTTGTTCTCGTGTCTGTACAATGTGCTTCCTCTCATTACTTTCGAATCTCGATCTGTAGGTTTAGGATTATTGAATTGTGGTTAGGTCATTGTACTTTGTTTTGTTTCAGGCGCAACGAAAGATGGAAGCAGCATCCATTTCTTCCATAAAACAATGAAAGCATATGCTACTGGTCAGAGGAAGCGCCGCAAGGTTGATAGTCAGCGTAGCGTGGCTTCAGAGGATGTCCGCTGGCACAAAACGGGTAAGACCAAGGCTATAATGGAAAATGGAGTTAAGGGCTGGAAGAAGATCATGGTCCTATACAGAAGTTCGAAGAAAGGTATCAAACCAGAAAAAGTTAACTGGGTGATGCATCAGTATCACCTGGGAGCTGAAGAGGATGAGAGAGAAGGTGAATATGTGGTGTCAAAGATATTCTACCAGCAGCATAAGCAGTCAGAAAGGAATGACAACAATGTGGTCACTGAAGATAATGATGTCAATGCACTTCGAACTAGCCCCAGGACCCCCGTACCCAATCCTCCAATTCCACCTAGACCAGGGAAATCTGTATGCTTTGAGGATGTTCCTGATGAAGCTATGCTCCGCTCATCTGTCAAGGTAGGCGGTCTATGATTTGTATACCTCATTAGTTAAAAAGCTACACTACCGTAAATAGAAAAGAGAAAATGGAATTTTTATATCGTTCTGTCTTCAGAACTTGACATATATGCTCAGTATCCCATAGACAAAACTCTAGATTTTTCGCTTTGATTCCGAAAATCCTTTAGTGTGTTGGATTCTTACTGAACTCTATTTTGTGGAATAGGAACCGGAGCTTGCCCAGGAAGCATATCGTGTCCCTCAACCTGATACTCGGTTTGAAGACAATATTGGGCAGCCTACCTGGCTCGCAGGCGAATCTCAGGCCGACGATTTGCATAGCTTGGATGAAACCTTGTTATGCAAGGAGATCTTTGGTTCAGCAACGAACCTCATATCTAACACTGACTTCAATAACAATACATACGAGGTGAATGGAAACAGCAGCACATCGTGTGGACGTCATGACCTTGAGAATATTGGACTTGATTCTCCTCCAGATTTCCAGCTGCCTGTAAGCTTCCTGCTTACCCTTTCTTCTTCTGCTTTGTTAGATTTTTCAAGAAATATTGTACTAAAATTCACGTTTGTAATGCAGGATTTTCAGTTTTCATCCCAAGACAGTTTTAATTGGCTAGACAGGTTAAGCTGACGATGAAAGAGCTTCCGGGAATGACATTGAATTCCCAAATTTGTGCAATCGTAGAATCCATTCGAATGGCCTCTTTTTCTGCATGCTCTTCAAGGGCAACGAGGCAACTTCAGTGCTTTAGGATACGCATGGAGTTTCCCCTTGCCCTTTGCAACTTCTCCGAGCATATGAAGTGCGTAGGCATGTAGCCACGGAGATACAGATTCCTATCAGTCAGCTGTCGACTACTTAGATTAGTATTCAGAACTCAGAATGTTCAACCAAAAATTAGCAAGGATGATTTTATGTTCCGCCCTTGGCCTTGGCTTCTCCTATGTGCCAAGTACGGGTGATCGTTGTATTTTTAGTATTGGCGTTGTGTGCTTGTGAACAAGTGAGACTGTTTTTGCAACCAGTGTATGGCAGATCAAAGCATCTCGTGGGATGCTCATACATTGTTGGCAATAGCAGTTATGTGCCATTCTACATTTGTTGTTGCATTGTGTAATTTGGAACTTATTGCTTCTTGACAAATGCTTGCTGTATAATCAATGGTTTGTTTTATTATTTATTTATTTTTATCAGCAATTGTTATCTTTGAGATTTAACCGAATTATATGTGTTGCCACTCAATACTACGGTCTGGTAGTATTCCTCTTTACTTAGAAGCGAGGGGTCTTAGGTTCGAATCTCGTGGATGGTGAATTCAATACCAAATTAGATTGCCCATTGTGTGGTTTAACCGAACTCCCTTTCCCTTTAGTGTAAAAATATCCATGTACTAAAAATAAAACCGAATTATATGTGTCAGCAAAGTGAAGATTGTTCAGATGATATTATCTACAATAAGGGAGAGGGATGTGGGCTTATCCTTACAATGGGCTAGCAATAATGTGATTCAAATTCGCTTTTAGCGAGAATTAAACCGAAGATCTCTCACTTACAGATGAAGAGAAATACGTGAGATGAAGAGAAATACGCGAGAATTAAACCGAATATCTCTCACTTACAAGATGCGCTACACACAACATAGTTTTTTTTTATCTTTTTTCACTTTGCAATTGTCAAGAAGCCTGATTTATTTTTATTTTTTTTATAGTAGTGCTCCGAAATTACATTCTTCACGACTACCTGCAAATGCAAAGAAGTTATCAATCTCTACAACTGTAAAATGGAAGACAATTAACATAATACGATTAATTCAAAATGATAAATTGTAAGCTTCAATGGAAACCAAATGGTAGAAGAAAATACAATTGACCACTTCTTTACGATGAAGAGGGAGAGAATCGATGGATATGTTAGGGATTTCTTCTAAAGAGGTATTACAAACAAACAACCAAATAATTAAACTCTGCAACTTTGTTAAATTGATCACCTATTGAGTAAGCCTATGAAGCCTATGAAGCCAAAATGGATAATTGATTTTTGTCATAAAATATAACAAATCAAGATGACATTTAGAAGTTAGGATAAGTGGAAAAGTGATGCAAGAAAAGGGGTACTGACAAAAGCAGATACCATAGCTTTGCACATGGGCTTAATTGCTTAAAGGTTCAAGAATTTACATTGGTTTAGGATGTAATATCCAATATTTCCATAAACCTCTCCGCATAATTTTTGAAATAACAAAACTCTTGGACAGTATTAGCGACAAATAAAATTTAAAATACCTGATTCGAACGAAGCAAGATAATCAATGCCTCTAAGTCAACACTAAGAAGCAAACCACCAAATTCTATTGTTAACCAAAATCTAACATTTAAGTCAAACTGAGATGATTATCCAGCTCTCTGCAGAAGAATCTCCACTCAGTGGTACCCTTAATATCCTCCCTTTACCGAGTAAATGAACAAAAAAATACCAAAACAAAAAGAAAGAAATCAAATGTAGTTTTGGAATGCCCACTGACCACTGATTTCAATAATCTCGTCATCCTCTTCTTCTGAATTTGTAATTTGTACACACTCTGAAAAAATCTACGTATATTACCAAATACAACATAAAATAATTTAGTACAAATATTTAACCTAGCAATAAACTTGGAAAGCAAAAAAAAGTAGGAGATAAAGAAAATAAAGATGAAGAAAATAAAAATAAGAATTAAACTAATTGTATTATGATTCGATTCAACGATAATTACACATTTACATAATAAGGCACATCTCTTATTAATTTAAAGAGATACAAAAAAAAAATTGAATTAACCTGTCACTTCCTTCCGCATTGCTTTGAAATTGATCCTATCTAAGATCCCACTTGCTATCAAATCAAACCTTGATTTGATGAGAAACAAATTTCTGCATGAAAAAAAATGCGCTGTTTAATTTGGTGTACACGATTAAAGATACAATGGCAATAGCAAATTCAACGGACAGATTGAGAGGAGAAGTTACCATCAACATCATCAACAGCCATTTGGACATCTTGCAGACTTATCAGTCATTTCGTCACAGCCTCCTTTTAATGCTAAAATCAAAATTAAATAACATAAAAATTAAACAAATATACAAGCACATACATGCTGTAATTAAATATAATTTTGATGGAGTAATTAGTCAAGTGGCAAAAAAATTGAATGAAGAAATACCAAGAAAATTGATGGAGTAATTAGTTACTATCTTTAAAATGGGGCATGTACTGCTGACCCGTCTTCTTTAAATACCGGTACGTGGATTGTAGGTCTGGAGTAGCACAATCGTTTTTTTTTTTTTTTTTTTGCTATGGAAAAGCACAACCGTGTCGTGCGTTTTCATCTCCCCTCTCATGCTTTAGATTTCAGTTTTTTGTGTGGTTTCAGTTTTGACGCAACTTTTTATATTTTTAGTGTTTTATGTTATTATCTAAAACAAAATAAAATAAAATAAATATGTGTTTACGGAAATACCCTTGTTATTATATTCTGTATTTTATGGGTAGCTGTAATTTTTTTTGTTTCAGGGACTTTTGTGTTCAGTTGTTTTTGGTGAAGCCTTGAAACATCAAAACTCACTTCTGGCTTTCTAATATTATATACTAGCTTTTCTGAACACGCTACACGCATGCAAAAGGCTTTTTTTTTTTATAATCAAGGCGTGCTAGGCACGACATACATAGTTTTTTTTTTATCCTTTTTCACTTTGCAATTGTCAAGAAGCGTTTTTTTTTTTTTTTTTGAATTAATGATACCGATCATTATCAACAACAAAAATAATGGAATAACTTTTTGATATGTTCATTTTGAAGATTTAAAAGTGCCGGAAACTTTGTGTAAGGTAAAAAAATTGGTGCGTGAAAATCACTTTTCAAAAAAAATAATAATAATAATAATAAAATTAAATCTTTGTTCGGACTAACATACAATATCTACATTTTTCAATTTGTGAAACAAATACAATATAGATACGTTAATAAGACCTTTCATATATCACTAATCCCGTGGACTACTAATATAGGCCACAGACTTGAGTTTAGTTGTAAGGTATTTAGCAACATCTTAGAAAATTGTTAGCGGTGCTCCGAAATTGCATTATTCATGACTACCTACAAATGCAAAAAAGTTATCAATCTCTACAACTGTAAAATGAAAGTAAGACAATTAACATAATACGATTAATTCAAAGTGATAAATTGTAAGCTTCAATGGAAACCAAATGGTAGAAGAAAATGCATTTGACCACTTCTTTACGATGAAGAGGGAGAGCATCAATGGATATGTTAGGGATTTCTTCTAAAGAAGTATTACAAACAAACAACCAAATAATTAAACTCTGCAACTTTGTTAAATTGATCACCTATTGAGTAAGCCTATGAAGCCTATGAAGCCAAGAAAATGGATAATTGATTTTTGTCATAAAATATAACAAATCAAGATGACATTTAGAAGTTAGGACAAGTGGAAAAGTCATGCAAGAAAAGGGGTACTGACAAAAGCAGATAATATAGCTTTGCACATGGGCTTGATTGCTTAAAGGTTCAATAATTTACATTGGTTTAGGATGTAATATCCAATATTTCCATAAGCCTCTCCACATAATTTTTGAAATAACAAAACTCTTGAATAGTATTAGCACAAATAAAATTCAAAATACTTGATTCAGACGAAGCAAGATAACCAATGCCTCTAAGTCAACAATAAGAAGAAAACCATCAAAATCTAACCTTTAAGTCAAACTGAGATGATTATCCGGCTCTCTGTAGAGGAATCTCCACTCAATGGTACCCTTAATATCCTCCATTTACCGAGTAAATGAACAAAAAAAAAGAAAAAGAAATCAAATGTAGTTTTGGAATGCCCACTGACCACTTATTTCAATAATCTCGTCATCCTCTTCTTCTGAATTTGTAATCTGTACACACGTTGGAAAAATTTACTTATATTTCCAAATACAACAAAAAATAATTAAGTACGAATATTTAACCTAGCAATAAACTTAGAAATCTAAAAAAGTAGCAGATAAAGAAAAGAAAGATGAAGAAAATAAAAATAAGAATTAAACTGATTGTATTATGATCCGATTCAATGATAATTACACATTTACATAATAAGGCACATCTCCTATTAATTTAAAAAGATACAAAAAACTTTTGAATTAACCTGTCACCTCCTTCCACATTGCTTTGACATTTATCCTATCTAAGATCCCACTTCCTATCAAATCAAACCTGGATTTGATGAGAAACAAACTTCTGCATTAAAAAAAAAAAGGGAACTTTAACGAAAAACACCCGGTACTGTTCACTTTAACGAAAAACCACATTTTTACACTAAAAAGTCAATCCTGGTACTATTCACTTTACCCTTTATTTTGTCCTTATCATTAAAACTCAAAGTTTTCAAGCCCTTTTCATTAGTTTTCCTAAAAAAAAAAGGTCATGAGAAGTCTTGCATTGCGCGGCCCACGAGAAACAAACTGAATCAGTTTTAGATACTTGCAAGACTTCAGCCGGAAACAATGCGTTGTTTAGTTGGACAAGGATTGTCTGCCCTTCACTTTTCGTGCCCTTTTCGTGCCCTGCTGTTTTGTGTGGTCACGGTTAAACCACGTCAACATTTTATATTATTTTTTTATAGATATAATAAAACAAAAATAAATAGTAATATAAAATGTTGATGTGGCTTAACCGTGACCACACAAACAGAAGGGCACGTGAAGGACACCGGAAGTGGAGGGCAGACAATCTTTGTCCTGTTTAGTTTGGTGTACACGTAACACGATTAAAGATACAATAGCAATAGCAAATTCAACGGAGAGATTGAGAGGAGAAGTTACCATCAGCATCAGCAACAGCCATTTCGATATCTTGCAGACTTATCAGTCCCTTTGTCACAGCCTCCTTTTGATGCTAAAATCAAAATTAAATAAATATACAAACACATACATACTGTAATTAAATATAATTTTGATGGAGTAATTAGTCAAGTGGGAAAACAATTGAATGAAGAAGTTATTATCTAAAACAAAATAAAATAAATATGTGTTTACGGAAATACCCTTGGTATTATATTCTGTATTTTATGGGGTAGTTGTAATTTGTTTTGTTTCAGGGGCTTTTGTGTTCAGTTGTTTTTGGTGAAGCCTTGAAAC